CTGTACCCCTGTTCTGCATCCTGGCCACCATAAACTGAGCAGTTTTGCCCTGCTGCAAGCTTCTGACATGAGGCTCCTGCCTTTGAGCCAGCTGTCCACAGACTGAATTCTTGAAATTGTGAATCTAATAATAAACCTCTCCTCTTTTGAGTTGTAAGTGCCATTACATTTATTAAATCATATCCTAGAAACTTAGGAGAAACTTTGCTTAATTCATCCTTGTGCAGGGTTACCACATGCAACCAATTTTCTTAGAAATGGGCAAACTGTTTGGCCAAGTCTTGGATAAGCCTTTACCACAAGGATTTATATTCTAATATAGACAGAACAAAAACACATGTAAATCTCAGGTAATTTTGTTGATCTTATTACAAAAATGATAAATAAAGGTCACAGGACAGTGTCTAGATGGGAATGTAGAGTACAGTGGTTAGTACTGGAAATGTGAATTGTAAGAGATCTCTGAAAACAAGACCTCCAAGGACCCTAACTGCACAAATTCCTCCTCCAGCCCTTACTCACATTTCAGGTCTTGGATCCCAGTACTTTTGGGACCAGCCCTAGAAGGTGTATGAATAAAGTATTCCAGGCTGAGGAAACAGAAAGTATAAAGGTTTTGAGGCAAGGATGAGCTTGACATATTTCTAAAAGCATAAAGAAGGTTCATAGAAGCTACAAACAATAAGGACAATGAATTTTATTACTGAGATAAAGTCAGAAAGTTCAACAGAAACCCATTATGAATGATCTTACAAGTCTTGCTAGAGAGTTTGAAATTTTTTAAACTCTAAAATGAAGTCATTAGTACATCTTAAGTAGGGAAGCAACACAACCTGATATACATTTTTTAAAAGTTTTATTTAGACTACTGTAGTCCCTATGAGAGACGATGGTGACATAGAGCAGGGGTAGAAATGAACCTGAAGACAAATAGACAGTCCTGAAAAATGCTGTAGAGACAGAGAGGAGTCCTTCAGAGGCCCAGCGCATGATCAGGTGTGAGAGAAGACTTTCTGGCTTCTTATGTCAGCAGCTCATCTTCTCTGACATAATGAACTCAGAGCCTGCCTCATTTTCACTGAGGCTTAATCTGAAATTATCCGTGTAGTTGGTTGGTGTCTATCTGACTCACTGTAATGCAGTCAAGAGTGCTTACTCTTGCATTTGTCAGAAACTGGAAACACTGAGTAACACACAGTAGGTACTCTTTTAGTGAATCACTGAGAAAATCAGTTAATGAATACAAATTTCAAATAGTGATTTCTGTTTTACATTTGAGGGGTCACATAGAACACTCAATTCCTTTTCTGCGAGAAAGCCCTTAAAATGGGTGACAGTAGCCAAACTATCCTCCCCCTCCCCCGTCTCATCTAAATGTTAATTAGGTTGACTTTTTAAAAATATCCCTCTGCAATACAGCCAGTCTGCCATGTCCCTGAGTTCTGTATCTGTGGATTTAGCCCACCATGGATTGAAAAATATTTGAAAAATTGTGTCTCTAGTAATCATATATAGACTCTTTTCCTTGCCATTAATCCCCAAATGATACAGTAGAGCAACCATTTACACAGCAAAGCAAGTGACTCACAAATCTGCAGATCTGGTGTCTGCAGAGTATCCAGGGACTAATCCTGCATAGACACCAAGAGGGAGATGACTACGCTTTTTAATCTTCTGATATCATGATTAACATTAGAACTTTGATTAATGAAATGAAAACTCTGTGGGTTCTACACATTTATACACAAACACATAAATCAGCAATTCTTGAATTTTCATATACATAGTATCAATTATTAATAGCCGATTTCAGTATTGCCCATCTTATACTATCATTTTAAAGGTTAAATAACTCTCATAGCAGATCATAAATAAAAAATAAGAAATTTTCACTACAGCAAAACTAGTCAAATTAAATTCTCCCATGGAAATAAAGTAATTAAGTGCCTATTGAACTCAGTGTTGCTTATCACTCATGACTCTATTCCTGGATAAGAGAAAGTCTCTTTAAACTGGAGGTAAATAGAACACTTCTTCCTTTAGCTGATTGGCCATGAAACTGTTCTGCTCAATTATATAAAACTGTAAGTATTAGGCTGAGTTAGGCACACAGCTCAGTGGTAAAGCATTGCATGGAATGCATGAGCTCCTGGATTAGATCCCAAACAAACACACACACATACACTCACACAACGTTGTTCAAAATGTGTTGGACTGAGAGACCCTTTACTCAGCCTCACTTTACTTCTAGCCCCTACTGCTTAGAAGTGGATGAACCAAAGTCCTCTAGAAGCTCCTACAGTTATCTTAGACGATGAGGCAATTTAAGCCATAGGCTCTGCACTGAAGAAATGAAAAATGTAAAAAAGTAAAAAGTAAAAAAGCACAGTCTCTTATAATGGTAACATTCAACAACACCTGCTAATTGCCTTCTCTCCAATCATAATTTTAGATTTCACTAACTTTGAGTTATTTGAAGTTTTCCCTGGTAGGCTAACCCAAATTGATGGAAACTTCATCTGTTTTTGTTTCTGTTGTCATTGATTTTCTGTATTTCTATAGTTTACAAGATATTCTTTGAAATTTGTAAAACTTATTTTGTGTGGACAAGGAAAAGAATGTCACTCAAAAAATGAGGGAAAATTTCATTAGAGAGAACATTAAAACCTGCTCTAAGGCCTTAAATATTGATGGTGAGAGATAATGCTGGGAGTATCACATATACTCAGCTCCAGCTCTGCTCTGTTTATCTAGTTATTATTTTCAACTCTGGCCTAGTTATCTAGTTATTATTTTCAACTATGGTTTATTTACCTAGTTATTATTTCATTTCTTTATGATTTCTTAAATACTTGGTAAAATATATACATTGGAATTTCTAACATTATTACTTGTGGTGAAATAAATATGGTTACAGGAAGAGTTATTTAAAATTTACAAACATGTTGGTATTTTTCAGCTTCCCTAATAGCAATATAAATGTTCACGAATATGATTAAGATCATAAGGTATCTCAAAACTGTAAATCATGGAGTGATAGGCTAGTTTCCAGTTAAAAGGTTAAAATAACTACTTGGTTAATTTGTATGAAATAGTTATGAGCTTGATCTACATCAGGGTACAGTATTCCTCATTCCAAGTCAATTCTCGTCCAGTTTGTATTGATTAGTTTAGGTGTTTAATACATAGCAGTTACACTCATCTTGGGGAATTGGGACACACACGTATCCCATCTTGGTCATGTTTATTCCCTCTTTCTCTGCTTTCCTCTCCACAGGTCCCATTTCCCTGTGCCCTGCCTTCTCTTTTATTTGCCTTGTATTGTGAAGATGTTGGATTTCTCATATTAGAGAAATCATGTGATATTAACCTTTTGTATCTGATAACGGTCTAGTATGTATCCATTTTCCTACAAATGTCTCAGATCTAACTTTTTTACAGTTGAGTAGCAATCCATACTATGTAAATATGACTTTGCCTTTATACATGTATCTGTCAGTAGGCATACTGCCCACAAGATTTAGCTATTGTGGATTGTGCTGCTGTAAATATGGATGTGCGTGCATCACCCTAATTATTTCTGAAAGAAAACCAAAAGATTTTTATCTGGGTCAAATGGAATTTCTATTTTTAATTTTTGTTTTCTTTTTTGAGGAATCTCTGCACTGATTTCCATAGTGACTGCACTAATTTACTTTCCCTCCAACAATATAGAAGGATTCCTTTCTCCCCAGTCTCGCCTGCATTGGTTGGTTTTTGAGTCTTTGATTACTGTATTTCTATTAGAATAAGAAGCAACTTTAGTATTGTTTTGACTTGTATTTCTCTATGGTCAGAGATGCCAAACATTTTCTCATATAATTTGTTTTTCTTTGTGGAAAGTTTCTATTCATTTTTAATTGCCCGTCTTTATATGGTGTATTATTTGGAGATCTAATGTTTTTGAGTTCTTCATATATTCTAGATATTAATTCATTTCCCAAAGAGTAGTTCACAGTTTTTTTTCTCATTCTGTAGGCTGTCTCTTCACTTTATTAGTTGTTTCCTTTCCCATGCTAAAGCTTTTGAAATTTGCTATACTTCCATTTGTGGTATTATATCTTACACAGTTGGGATTCTATTTGGGATACTTTTCCTTATGTCTATGTCTCCAAGAGTTTTATCAATTTTTTCCAGCAGATTCAGTGCTTCCATTTTATAGCTAAGTCTTTGATCGATTTTATTTGATTTAATACAAGAAAATAGACAGAGATCTAGAATTTATTCTCATGCACATGGACGACCACATTTCCCAAAAGCACTTGTTAAAGAGGCTACTTTTTTCCAGGGAAATTTATTGGTCCCATTGTCAAAAGAATCACAAGGCTGGCTTTGTTTGAGGTTGTATTTGCATCCACCATTCTATTCCAGCGGTCCACACACCTGTTTTTGTGCCAGGAATATCCCGTTTTCGTTACTGTATCTTTGTCACATAACTAGAAGTCCTAGATTATAACATGTTCTAGTTTGATCTGCTGCTCAGGATTGCTTTGGCTATTTTAAGTATCTTTCAAAAATTCTGGTTCTATATGAATTTTAGAATATTTTATGGATCTTTGAAAAATGTCGCTGTTATTTTGATTGTAATTTAATTAAATTTATATATCATTTTGATAATATGGCCATTTGACAATGCTAATTCTAACTATCCAAGTACAAGAAAGTGCAGCATACAACCTCAATATACAAAAATCAACTGTGTTCCTGTACATCAAAAATGAACCCACTGAGAAAGAAATCGGGAAAATAATCGAGTTCAAAATAGCTTCCAAAAACTGAAGACCTCTATAACAAAAGCTCTTGTGGTCTGAAAAAAAGAGATTGAAGAGAGCATTAGAAAATGGAAGCATTCACTTGAATTTTATAAATTTAGCAAATCTACAAATATCTATCCCTATATCTATTATATATATATATATATATATATATATATATATATATATACTATAGACATTCTCTGATTTGAAATCTGAGACTGTAAGCCCCAAATCATAAATTGATACTGACTAACTTCTCCCTTGTAATAACATCTAAAGAAACTTGGCCTTTATGAACTGAGATGAACACAAATACCAAACAGAATGTAGCCCCCTACTCTAAATGCTATGGTTGATATATCTACAAATGACCATAACAGAACATGGGAAAGAGGAATTTAATGTGCACTGGCATTGAGGTAAAAGTAAAAATTCTTAGTATGCCTCAAAGGGTGAGGAGAAAGCAGCAGGTAAAGAAAAGGAAGAAAAATTGACCCAGAAAGAATTCCTCGAGACAGGCTCAGAGGCTCATGTAAGCCACCTCACCTTCCTGTATCTCCGGTTGCAGCCCTCAGCCTAACTCATTGCAGTGACGTTGCCAATGGTTTCAGAAATCTAACAGTTCTATTTTAAACACACTGTCTTTGATGCACCATCTCGTGTATATCCAGCCAATTAGCTTCACCTTTTCAATTGATAAGTCCACCAATACCACCTTTCACTGACTTCCCAGCCCCACTCCTCTATCCAATGGGTTTTCCTGGAGCGTCACGCAAGATTTTACTTGAGGCTACTGTAGAATCAAAATATTGTATATACACACACAGCACATGAATCACAAGAAAACAAGGGACTATGGGGGATCCTCAGTGCAGGTTTCATACTTTGAAGTGATATCTGTAAGAATTTAAAATATTTTAACTTAGATTTCTAATTCAATGCCAATTTTTGGAACAGATTTATTTTCATAGATGCTATATAAACATTCTTTTAAAGAAAACAATAAAATAACCTACCATACGCCATCAGAAAGCCAGCCAGGCTTTGCTTTTATTAGTTACATTACGTCCTCACTTAGTGAGGACAATCGTATCGGTCAGCCAAAAGTAATTTTTAGATTCTCTATTTGAATAGATTTTATATACTCTAGCTCTAGTTATTTTTTATAAACAATGAAAAATTGAGGTGTCCTTTATGTACCAAATGTAATAATAATAAGTGGAGAAAAAACAGTAGCAGAGGTCAGGAAAGCTGTTTCTGATAACCGTTTCCATGCTACAGCCTGTGACTTTGAGGGGTTACTCTTTGTCGAAGTGTCTTTAAATAGGCACTGTCTCTGCAGAACTAAGGAAGGGGAAGGCATATGCGAGCTCTGCTCAACTCCAGACACGTGGTCTAGAGCTCATCGTCCTCTCAGGGACCTTTATCCACCACACTCAGTGACAGCTGTCAGCTGTAGCCATGATGATAAGCTGTCATTAGTGGGAGTTCATTCAAACCAATTTCCATCTATTTGAAGGCTAATATTAAAATGGACATATGGTAGTTGCTGATGTCATAGATAAAATGGCCTTAAAATATACCTATGGACCTAGACACACAATCTCACAACATATAAAAAGCTTTACATCTGCTCCATCTATACGTGACCGTGAAAACGTGCACAAAAGCCTTAAACTGTTATCTTTGCCCCTCTTTTCATTTCTTTGAGCATCTACCATTAAAATTCTATACAGTGTTTATTAAGTTACACCACAGTTTATAATCTGATTACACTTGTTAGGAAAAGATACTCAAATGGATTCAGCAGTATTTATCACTCATTGATCTTTGTTAGTGTGTATTTGTAAGTTAGTTATTGATCTTTGGTTTAAAGTATGCAATTACATAAAATATAATTTTGTTAAGTAAACCATATTTATCATGTATGACAGCTACCAGTAGAGTCACTGTACTGGAGCTGAGAGAGATAAATGGATATTTCCACTAGGCAAAGTTTTCACAACACAAGTACTTAATTTTTATAGTTAGGTAATGTTTTGTTGAGACAGAAAAAGATGTTGACAAAATAGAACTAATTATCTAACATAGATTCTGAATTGATTGCTTCTTTTGCTCTGCATTCACTATAACCTCATTTCCATATTCTGCAACTACCTTAAGTATATTAACACATTGCAATTAACATATTGTTTTCCTCTCTGAAGATATTTAATGTTCTTTTACTAAGAACTCAGACTCTACTTGATTATTGCATCAGCACTACATATTCCTTCAATGCTATACATTCCTACAGGGACACCTGTAGGCATGGAGCAAAGGGGAAAGTCACAACAGGCAACCAGGACAAACGCTCATAAACTGATCCTGTGTCAGCCCTGATTTCTGCATACATTGATTTCTGCAGAAAATTAACACAAAAAAAGCACAAAGAAGAAATTTATGGGACAGCTCTTTGAAATGTTCTCTGACAACACTGAACTCAAATACCACTCTGCTGCTCGTATCTCTTTGTGCTGGCCTCTGTAACACCAGCTTAAAATAAGCATCTTATTTATCAAACTTCAGCCTCATAAACTATTAACTTTAGGACCTGCATTCTGAGATGGTTATCCAGAGGATGGAAAGTTGGATCAGGCAGCCGATCTTCAACAGCAATGCAAGAGTTTTCCTAACTGAAAACTAATCCCTACTCAGTTCCAATATCACCTAGTGTAATTTGCAGGCTGGAACCCTAGATTTCCAGGGTGACTTAACAAATAAAAATATCTTAATCTTCTTAAGAGTTTTTTACTGAATTATCTATATACATTCCAAAACTTAATTCTAGCTATATAGGTGTAGTAGTATCAACATTTAACAGGAGAAGGTTGAGACCCAGGAGACTAAACAGCTTTACTCAAGGTCATGCTGTTGGAGTTTAAAACCGACACTGAAAAGCAGCCTATTTGATTCCAGAGACTGAAGCTGCAGTTTCTGAGTCTTGGTATTTACAGTTCATTGTCAGATTTCATTCACTTGTTTGAACTTCGACACACTGTCTGTTGGCATTGCCAGACACTGAGTTCAGTTTGCCGGCACAGTATCCCACTTCTCAAGCTCCTGTAGCCAGCATTCTCATATCCCCCAGGCTTTACGGGTAAAAGTCCACTATTTTACCCTCCATCCAGCCTTGAAGCATCAGTCTTATCTAGTACAGATTTTACCAAAAATATCTAGAAATTTTGTCTAAGTGGTTAACGATGAGACTAGAATTAGTACACAGAATTTTTTGTAATTGATGAACTAATTTAAAAATTAGCGCTAAAAACCATTGCTAAAAAGTTATAAAACATTTCACTGGGTCTAGCCACAATAAATTCTGATAAGAAAATTGATTTATTTAAAAGAGTATATTTTCATAGCCAGTGACTGGGATTCACAAACTAAATTCCATACTCTCTCATGATTCATTTCTGCATTTTATACTAAGTAGATTTATGTTTTTACATATGACAGTCTAACCCTCCAACTCTACCATAAGAATTAGTTATTTTCCACAAAGCATTCAAAAACAAGAGAGTTATTCCACCTCCCTTTAATCTCCAATGCAGCAATAATATCAATTGGCAGGCTGCCTTTAAAGGCTACGGGTGTGGTTTACAGGTAGATGAAAGAGTGATCTGTCTTTGCACCTGAAAATGAAAAGCATAGACAAACAGTGGACAGAGGCTCTCCCTCCCCCTATCACTTATTTACACATTAGTAGACACGTTATCCTAGTGGGTGAATTCTACAACTATGTTTTATTATTGTTATCAGGAGAAACAAAATATCTCTGTTCTCTAAAAATAAAAATCTCTAATAAATAAAAATCAGACATGAATGTCTCTAATTTAAAAATGAATAATGCCTTCTAAAACTTAAATTTCCCCAGATGCTAATTTAGGAAGAAAAATTTATCAAAGTGGCTTTGTAGTATAAGTTCAAGTCAGGGATTGTGATGCCTCCTGCCTTGCTATTGTTGCCCAGGATTGCTTTTGCTACCCTAGGTCTCTTCTGTTTCCAACTGAATTTCAGGATTGTTTTCTCTAGATCTGTGAGGTATGCTAACGGTATTTTGATTGGAATTACATTAAATCTGTTTTACCACATTTGGGAGAATATTCATTTTCAAATCGTTGGTTCTTCTTATCCAAGAGAAAGGGATATCTTTGAAGATGACAATATGCAATATATTAACCAGTGTTAATCTCTTTATTATTGTGTTTTGAAATTCTGTATCATTTATTATTTTTTATTTTTAAAAAATTTAGAGCACAGAATATTATTTGCAACTTAAATGGAAGAGTACTTTTTGTCCTATACTTACCTTTTAGTGTCTCAGAACCAACCAGGTAACCCTTAATAATCCAATAACTTGATGATTAATTTAGTAAAATTTTATTATAAATAACATCTATTTATCTTTGTACTACACAAGAAAACAAACTATGCAATATAGGGCCTGTTATTTGTATAAGAATATTCAAAAACAAATTCCCAGTTAAAATAATCAACCAATAAACTAGATGTGGTGGCGCACACCTGTAATCTCTGCATTCAAAAGGCTGAAATGGAAGAACCTCTGTGAGTTTAAGGCCTGTGTAGGCTGTAACAGTGAGTTCAAGGCCAGCCTAAGCTCATAGGGAGGCTCTTATCTCAAAAGAAAAAACTAAACACACAAACAAAATCAACCAATAAATAATGTAGGTCTTAATAAGGAAGTTTCCTTCAATATTAACATAAATGAAAAATTACATAAATTGAAAAAAATAGTCTAAAAACATTAGAAGTAGGTAGTCTACCTTAGTGAGCCTAGGATACATTCGATTTATACATTAAATATACTATATTACCAAATAATTTCTATAGCAAATAAGTAGTCAAATAAATATAATCTTCCTTATGTCCCATTAAGATAGAAGCTGTACAAATTTATCATACTTTATATCTATGAAAGCACAAAGCATTATTTTTATTGCTTTACTCAGCCAACATTCTGTGACTCAAATATGTTCACTTTATAAATTAAAATCTTCCTCTTATAAAGAAACTGGCATTCAGGCATGTTTATTCATTTTATCATTCATGTTTTACCATTATTGTTTAGAACCTCTTATATCAGGCTATCACCATGTGTTGTAGTCAGGATTTTCAAGGGGAAAGATTTAACACAAGACACATACTTTATGAGATGATTTTATAATATTCACCCAAAGAGTCCAATGCAGAAATGTACAAAATATCTGATACACTAGAGAACTAAAGAACCCAGCTAAAGGCCTGGTCCCACTGCAACATCATACATGAGTCCAGCTGAAGACCTAGAGCCCAAGGCAATGTCCTCCACGAGTCTATTTGGAGGCCTACAGTCCATGACAATGTCTCACGCAAGTGTGTATTAAGGGTCTGTACTCAGAAGGCCCAAAAGTAAGTGGCGGAAGCTACAAAGTCTGTGGTACTGGAATGAAGGATCTGTGCCAGCAGGCTGAAGGATTTGCATGGGAACCAGGAAGCAAATCTCAAGGTAAGGACCAGAGCCCACCCCCCCCCCAAAAAAAAAGAACCACAGCCATCCTCAGCGATAACAAAGACTCAATTCCTCTGATGATAATAGCTGAGTGTATATCAGGAAAACCATCATGACAAGCTTCCCCAGGAACATCAACAGCACACCATCTTCCCTTCAGTTCTTCTATGCTGTTGGCGATGCCCTTTTTCCACACCCAGCATCACACTGATTCAGTTCAGCGGAGTTGATTATTAGTTACTCCTCCACAGAGCAGGTGTCAGAAATGTTAATTACACAGAATTAATTCTTACTTTCTGATCTTATATAGGGAAAACATGGATGGGGAGTCAGACAAGTGAAAAATTGAGGATAAACACTCAAAAATAAGTCAGAGTATCAAGACAGAGAATAAAGGCATGGGTTCAGGAAGCAATTCAGATAGTGTGGTCATCAACAGTCATTGTGAAATGATATTTTAGCAGAGATCTCCATGAAATGAGGGTGAATCATACATACATCTAAAAAGATTACATCCCCAAAAGAGAAGAGAGTGATTCAGCTCACAAGATATGGGAGGAAGGAGCTCAGACCATTTTAAGGATGACTCTTTTGAGAGACACTGATGTCCAAGAAGCATGGATTTAAGAAAACTTCCCCAATATGGAAATATGCAATTTTAGATTGTTTTTACAATGGTTAAATTGTGTCCTTGGCTTATAGAAAAATACTATTTATATATGCAATCCTGAGTGGGTTGTGGAGTTCAAAAACTAAAAGCAACAAAAGGTTCCAAAGTTCCTTGTCTTAAGAACATTACTGTAGGGAAAGTGAAATATAAGCCTGTAAGAAAAATTGTTTGGTGCTAGGCTGAACCATGAAATTGTAACACTCTGGAGAATTTATCAAATGTTAAGGACTACATTGTTTTCACAGAATGCAGAATATGGATTTTAATTATTTGCACTTTGGATATGTACTATGTAACATACATGATATTTTGTTGAGCAACTTTTGACACGTCTTAATCTAAGTCAAATATTTAAATATCAAAGTAACTTCCAGCAAAATTCTCTGTGGGAAAATCACTTTCAGTCCTATCTTCTGATGGCTTGAGTCAAACAAAATCAGTGTTGAGATACTGAAAAGAGACAGTATACTGTGCATGTTTTGGATGAGCAGCTACAAGAATTGCTTTTTTCATCAACTTTAAGTGATTTGCAACGAAGAGTTTAAAGTTATACTAAGTCTTGAAGTTCAAATATATAGCCATAAACTTTAACACTCAACACTCAGGAAAATTGAGAGGAGAACCAAGAATGTACGTTTGTCTGTCTTACTACGTATCATGCCTAAATTGCATGTTTCTATCCTCAACTGTGACCCTTTCCTATGCTTTCATGGTATAACTGGCCTTTTATGTGATGTAAACCTATGTACTACACAATATACTGTAAGAAAATGAAAAGTATTAAGAGAAGAGTGGAGAGTAGAGGGAGGGAAGGGAAAACAGGCAAGAAAATGAATTATTCTAATAACTAGTGATTTCTTACTATTTTTTAAATTATGTATTACTTGTACCCTTTTTTGTTTTTTTTCTTTTTCTCTTTAAATAAAATTTAAAAAATAAAAGGAATTAATGTATTATGAACATATACCAACTCTCCCCAAGGAATGTAATCATTATATACTAAAAACACATGCTAAGAAAAAAATAAAAATAATTTTTTTTGTTTTCTACATGCTGACTGTAATCATGGTGCTTCTTCTCTTTCACTATCATATTTTCCATTTCCTTTGATGTCATTATTTATTTACTTATCCAAATTTTAGGCACCAACCAAGGCAGAGTGTGGAACCCAGGTTTAGTTTGTAGGTCTTAAAAATGATCTACAAACTCCTCACTTGTATCTGTAACCCAGAACTCTTCTATTATTTTCAGGCTTTCCAATCATAATTTCCATCCAGTAGAATGGCTAAAATGCATCTCAGCCAAAATATGCCCATAAAATACATCTTAATTTACTATCACATTAATCAATTTCTCTACTGACCTTCATCCCACTTCAACAAATGAAACTAGCAACCATGTAACTAATCAAACTAAAAATGGAGTCAACCTTGATTCCACTTTCTCTCATCAGTTGGCAGCCTTCTGTCAATCCACAGCTTGCAAAATTTGTATCTAGGATCTATTCATTTTTCCCCATTTTTGTTGACAACATACAAGCCCAAGTCCAGGTCTTTTCTGGACTATTGCAATAAGCTCCTAAGTTGCCTGATTGTTGGCCTGTGTCTACTTATCAGTCCAGTTTTTGAAAGTAGACAATGTCTTACAGATCATTTACACTGTGGTAGGTTGACTTTCTCTTTCAAACATGAATTCACAATAGTGATAGCAAAATGGATACTCTGGCCAAAATATTAACTGTTAAGATGATCTAAACAGAATGGAAAGAGTTCAAAATGTAGCTCTGGCTCAAAATATATGACTGTACAAGGACTATGATGAAAAATATTCAGAAAATTACATCAGGAACTAAGGTGAAATTGTCTGCAATACAAGATCAGATTAAATCTCAGAAAAATATAGGCTTGAGATGAGTATTATTTCTAAAATAAAGCTGAAAAGCAGAGTCAATAAAAAATTAACTTTTAGTATATATCTGTAAACAATGTTTATTGAGCAAAAACTCAAAAATCTTGACTGAAAAATCTAAGGTTCAGAATATGTTGCATTTAAATTAAATATTTAATCCAATTATATTGGAAGATTATTGTGTAAAATAAATGATAGGAATTAAGTTAAATATATAGACTCCTAGACCATTAATATTTCTTTCTTATTAACTTTTCAGTTTTTATAAAGGCACTCAGGATACCATCAGGTAATGACAATAACTATAATCAAATGTCTAGTAGTGAGCCATTGTGTGTAACACAAGACTTCTGATCTATAATTTTTTGCAGGCTCCCTGGCTTTGTCTCATGGCTAACAAGACTAGTGAATTTTCTGGATAATTTGACATGACTTAAAAAAATCAACAATAGTTGGAGAAGGAATAGAGGTAGATTTTTAAAGACTTTTTATGAGATAGGGATTTTGAAGCTTATTTCAAACAAGAATGTTTTAAAGAGTGTCTTAAGGGAAAAACACATGCTGTATATAGGTAAGACAGGAGCATTAAAAGTTGGAGTAGAACAGATCAGGAAAACATTCAGGGGATTAAAATAGGAACCAAATTCTGTGCATATCCCTTCAGAAATAGACACACATTAGAAATAGTATTCAAGGCAGCATTCTTGAGGCTCATATTGTGGTCATTTAAAATCAATTAATGCTGTTTGGAGGAGATGTAGGTATAATATCTGGTGGTAATGGAAGAATTGATAAAGTGAATGGGTCTCTGACTCTCTATTCTTCTTGGCTGTAAGAGCTTGTGTAGTAACAGAATTTGAGTTTATATGAGTATCAGCTGCCAACCTGAAACTTTCTTCAAGAGCTAGTAAATAAGTCACAGAAATTTCCATACTGAAACTCATTTAGACAAAATACTAGCCTAAGAATGTTTTTCAAAGACAATTTTTAAAACCTTTCTATTTAAGATCAAAATAAGGTACAGAGACTTCAAAGAAACATGCATTTCTTATGTAAAGATGACAACATCAATACTCCCTTAGAAGTTAATTTTTACCTTCAGAATGTAAAACGACATGGTTAGAGGCTTTCACAAAAATCATTGTATTTGCAGTCACACTGTCAGAAATGTCAGAAATTAAACCATGTAACACATTGATTTCCAAACCAGGTGCCAAAGAATATTCCATTATTTGTGGGATTGTATGACATATTTCAACAACTTATTCCCCTGTATTCCTGAATTACCATTACTGTGAATCGCTAAAACTCTGAAATCTGAGACAGTAATTGTTCAAGATTGGCCTATAAAATCTTTTGCTTTGAGGTTTTTTTATGCAAACAAATTATATCTCAACTTTGCTGATACCTCCATTTCCCTGAGAAGTTCCATTTTATTCCATTCTCATCCTTCCCTCTGATTAATTTCCACCTATTTTTATACAAGAAACGTATGTCTTCAACTACTCACTTGTAGTACACACAGAAGGGCCAGGGACACAGCTTAGTAGCACAGTGCTTTGCTGGCAAGTATAAGGTCCTGAGTTTGATTCCCAGTACAAAAAAGTAAGGATCCTATGATCTAGATGTAGTGCATGCAGACTTCTTCCATCAAAAACCTTCTATTTATTTTCTGTTACTTATTTCTACACCAATCATGACACAATAGAATCAAAATTGGAGGGAAATCTTTAAACGCCAGATACATGTTATTGTAGGTTATGTATGTTTGAATAATGAGTAAACATTTCTCTAATGAATAACTTAGTACTGTCAGTTCTTGGAAAAATCTATACAATACAATGTTTCCTGTTGCAGTGATAACACTCTTGTTAAATTTATTTTTCTGATTGTATAACTTTGTGAATATATTGCAAATCATTAAGCTATATTATTTAATTGAAAATTTGATGTGTGACATATCTCATTAAAGATGTTATAAAAACTTAATGGTGTTTTTAAAATATAAAAATGAAAAAGAGAGGTATGTCAAATGTTCAAATACTTAATGCCAAAGCAGCAAATTAGAACATGCAATACATTTAATGTTATGCTATTATTATTAACAAAAATATGAGGTGAATACTAACATATTCTGCAATGTCATATGAGTACATACAAAGACTCAAGAAGAGAGTCTTTAGAACACATCTGTTTCTCTAGGTTAATATTTCAAAGCATGAAGTATGGAACAGTTCTGTGAATACAATGATGAGCAATTAGAGAGGAGAAGGTGTATTGATATCTTCCATGGATTAAATTCATATAATTCTGGTTACAAAACAAGATGTATAAAATGATACCCACAAAGCTAGGTTTGTGCTCAGTAATTTAAGAAAGCATGTGGCAAAGAGTAATTAATAGTTACATGTGAGAAAGATTTAATTCTAGATAATTTTATTTTATGCTAACTTTACCGTAAATACTTAGATCATAAAGTTAACCTAAGATATACATTCATAATTAATGAATCTACTTTTATTCATCAGATTTAATCTTATTTTAAAATGCCTAATCTTCAAAAAATAATGATTTTTAAAAGTAAAACATAAGAAAAATGAACATTCATAAAAGTAATTACTTTAAATGTGTATATGTTATGGTTTGTGTCTGAATGCCCACTTCCACCCAAAGCCTCATGTGGTCATGGGGTCAGGCTTCTAGAATTTGTGATTGATTCATGGTCCAATTCTGGGATTACGGGTTGATTGCTGCACCCACCCTAGGGTAAGTAATCTACATATAATATAAGAGACAGAAAGAATTTTGTCTCCATGTTCCTCCCTTTTTTGTTGTTGCTGCTTTTGCCATTTTCTGCCACCATGAACTGTTGCTCTTTTCCATGTGCCATTTTGCTTTGGAGCCAGCTGATTATGGACTGAAACCTCCACAAACCATGAGCTAAACAAACCTTTCCTTCCTTAATTTTGGGCATCAAGTATTTTGTCTTAGTAATGAAAGAAAAGTAACCAATACATTACATTATACTGACAATCTATAATTATTCAAATTATAATTTGAAACATTTATGCAAAGAAATGAAACAAACTCAATTTCAGTTACACAATTTCATGATTTCTACATATATATTTCTCTTTCTTTTGAGATATCTACTTTATGATATGGAATTTTATAAGCAGGAAGTATAAAAATTAAGTTATTATATAAATTATTAAAGTTATGTATTTCACTTATAAAATGATATTTCATTAGTATAAATGTTAAAGTGTTCTTTCCTCATCCAATTTTAGACTAGATTTTTTGCAGCCACTTTTATTTCTAAGACCCTATAATTGTTTGAAAATAATCTAAATTATTGCATTTTTGGAAATCGATTATTTAAAAAAATAATATAGACACTAGCATATCTTTGAAGTGCTTACTAAACACTTGTTATTGATAATGTCATTGAAGTGCTTACTAAATACTTGTCATTAAGTGAATTTAAGTCAATTCTATTAAAGTAGTGCTTTCTATAACACAGAATTATAATAAGCCTTGCAAAAATCAGAGACCAAACTCTTCTTGAGCAAAGGAAAGAGGGCGATTCCAGTTGAACCATTAGGTAAAAGGAGGTCTAAAAATGTTTTTAAACAATAAATAGTTTCAAAAGAAGTGATTTCCTTTTATTATACCATTGTAAGCAGGATTTTTAGCTCCAAATACAATGAAAAGCACTGGTGGCTATCAGTGATAACGCATACATTTTTAAAAAGAGAACGAAGTTTTGAGAAGATTAGTGTATAGGGAGAAAAGGTTTTTAATAACACAAAGAGAAAAATAAGAATGAAAGGATATATAAAGAAAAGCAACAAATTATGAAGAGTAGTAACATAGAAAAGATTAGGACAACAATTAAAAGACATCCTCATAATGTGGAGTTAGCTATAGATTTAAGTTACAACTGCTGGTACAGACCAGAAGAGCATCTCTCCTCATCATGTAAAACGTTTTTTATTTGCTAAGTTATCCCAATCAATCTTTTGGGTTTTTTAATTTAAAGGGTGAAACCTGGGAGTACCTTACCACAGAGTTACATTACTCCTCCAGCTTGTTTTTATTTTTATTTTCATTTATTTTAAGATCAGATCTTGCTATCTCTAAATTACCAAACAGACGTAATAAAAGTTCATGCTGTGATTTCCCTGCCCCTGTCTCTCAGACTGCTGGGATTAGAGGAGTGTGCCACGATGCCCAGCTCAAAAATTCATATTTCAACAGAAAAACCTAGAACTGATCACTAATTTGAATCAAATGTCATCCTTTTACATATACAAAATTCAACTAAGCTAGAAACTTGGTTAGATGGGTAGAAAAACTACAAAATTAACATGTAGAATAGGGATATATACCATATTATCACTCTTGTCTAGATGTCCCCCTAAAGCTTCATGTAGTCATAAGTGGGACTTTTTCAGAGGTGGCTGAAACCAGACGGTGGGAGACTGAGATTAATTCATGGTGCAGTGCTAGGATCAAGGGTACTAGGATTAAGGGTCTGGGTGCTACCACTCTGAATAGCCTGAATAAATACAAGGTGCAGAAAGATTCTGTTAATGTCCCTTGCTTGCTTTACTATCTTGTGGTTGTCATGAACTGTTTCTTTTCTGTGATGCCTGTCTGACATGCCACCTTGCCTTGGAGCTAGCCAACTGCAGACTTAATCTCTACAACTATGAGCTAAATAATAAATAAGGCTTTGCTCCTTTAACCTTGGGTGTTGGGTATTTCTTCTCAACAATGAGAAAAGTAACCAAGCCATCCCATATATGATTCTTAACTAAGCAAGTAAAATTATATAATAACTATAAATTATGGATAATGAAAACAGTTCTGACAATTTAGAATCTCTTCCAATAAATGAAATATTACAAAGTCATTAGCAGACTACAAATAAACAAACTAGTAGTGACTTGGAAAAAATAAAAGTAAAACTTTCCCAATTTATTGTAATTATATATTTATACACAATATTTTCTGGCCAATATACTATAGCACAAATATGAATATTTTACAGTAAATAAAGTAGCCCTTCTCTCTGTATCAAAATAAGAAAATAATGCTTTTTGTCAAAGACTGGAATTTTATGCTGCAACAGATCTGTATACATAAGTGTTTTGAACATTAAACCAACACTTACACTTGCCAATTTTATTCTGCCCCCTATACTTCTAATGACAGTCCCACAATATACTGTTTTTACCTCAATCTCTTTTTGTTGTTATTTTTTCACAAATTTATCATTCCAGTATTTACAAAGGCATAAAATATTGTGCTTTGGTCACCTCTTTGGGTCCTCACTTGTAAATGTCCCCATGAATATGCTAAAATTAATAAAATATATATGCTTTTCTTCTGATAAAATCTTTTGTCAATTTAATTTTTACATTCAGTTAAAGAATTTAAGAAGGCAGAGAATTTATACACCCCCCCCTTAAAGTTTAGCTGTGCCCATTTAAAAACACAGCTGAGATGCTCTGTCAGGTTCCAATTTATCAGAAGTCAAACTCATCTGATGAGGAAATGTTTATTTTACTAGGTCTCAACACATCAGTGTTCCAAGTGCTCACTTGAAGTAGGAAATGCTAAAAACTGTAATAAAATGATGCCTATTTTAATTGCTACAAACTTTGTTTTATACAGTTGAGCCTGATACCTGTTCACAGCAATGACTTTTACCTCTGCCTATTTATCTGACTCATAATAAAATTTGTTGCTATAAGGCATGTTCATTGTTTTTTAAAACCGTTTCCCAATGTAGTGCCATAGGCATTGTTCTTCCATTTCCCTGAAATGAGATGATGACCAAGTATAAAGACATTTTGTAGCAAGAGTGGCAATAAAGCAATAATCTAGGGACAGCCCAAAAGATTGTATGGGAGCTACAGAGCGGCTGACATTTAGAAATGATAGAAATGCTCAATTTAGTTCAAGCAATTTATGAAACAGCACTATTCATATATCCAAAGAAATTCTTCAGGTCAAGTTGAAGATTTCTCTTGAAAACAGCTTCAATACTCTTGCCTGAATGGTTGGGAGAATGTGGAAGTTTTGATAACTGCTTCAATTAATTACACACTTAATACAGACTGCTTAGATTAGAAAAGATCCATCCTACATACTACAATCTGTTTAATAGGAAGAAAACAGATTAATTGCAGTAGCCATGGGAAAATTCTATCTCAGAAGAAATATTTTTACAGCTACTAAAGTATTCTTAGTATATTTCACGACAAAATCCATGACCAATTTTTTAAAAAAAAATCGGATTTAACTTTCTAGCCAAAATCACACCTTCTTCTAGAGAATGATTATAGAGTTTAGAACAAGAATTGTGTCAAGAGTAGTACTAAGATGAGTTTGGTATACCAATGAACTTTGTACGAGTAAACAGTAACAGTTAACTTGTGAGAGATATGAGAAATATTCTAGATCCAAACTGACTTTAATTGGACATTTGCAACACTCAACTGAGATGTCGAGATGCCATGTTTAAGACAAATGGGCAATCAAACTACCCTTCCAAATAGATTGGCAGTCTGTATGTAAACCAAAGTTTAATAAAGAAAAACCCTGAATTTGACTACTACAGAAGTACCTGATCAACACAGAGACACACACCCAGAGACAGAAAGAGAAAGAGAGACAGAGACTGGATGAAAAAAATCATTTTTCTATAATTAACTAAAATGCAAACTATCAAAAATAAACTAATACAGACTGTCACATCAGAGTCTATCAAATTCATTTTTGATTAAAAGATATGTAGGTCAGAATGTGTCAGGTGCCAGGAGCTCTGTTTTTTTTTTTAATAAGGCAAACCCTAGATTATACATGTCTAGATTTATATATTTCTATAGATAGTTAAAATGAAAGATCAAGACTCATTTAATTTGAAACAATTTTACTTAGAAGTGAGAGCGAGATTTATCTGAGGGGGAATTAGTCTGATGGTACTTGTCAGTACTAAAGGACTGACAAGGTGTTCTCTGAACCATTAGGACTCATTAGCATTTTTATTGAAGATATTAAATAAAGACTGCTGGAAAAACCACCCAACAACCATATTGATAATTATCTCACCCTTGAAATTTTCTTTGCTGGTCAAGAGATATAGCATCTTATGGAGACGCTTGGAAATGGAAAATGGCTTTAGTACATGCTTGTTAATCACGAACTAGTCTCTTCAAAGAGAGATAAAATTTCTATGAGATTCTGTAAAGTTTTCACTAGACTCTAATCTGTCATATCCCATTACATCCTTTATGTATTAAACCCCTGAGCTTCACAAAAATACTATAAGGTAAATAATGATACTGCCCTCATTTTAAGGTACTGATTTTAGGACAGGATAATTAAGGTACCCAAAACAACTGAAATAAACTCCAGCACTTGGCTACCCCCTAAAGAGAGGTTTTTGTTCTGCATGACTCCTGCTACCTCACACCCATCCCGAACATTCTAAAGTCATCTCATTTATTGCATGTTTTATTTATGAAAATGGAGTAGCATGATGAATTATATGGTCATTAATTACGTCTTCCTAATTTGTAACTCTGAAAAATTCTACCTTTATATTTCTTTTGATTTATTACAATAATTTTAAGGATCTGCTATATATCTATCATGATACCATGTCCTACAAAAGAGGGTAATTATAACAGTCCTGTTCTCAGAAAAGGTATAATTGACAGCATATTTTTATACGAACTTTTAAACCCATTTATGATTTTTATTGTTACTCATTACCAAGCCATATCTCTTCATTGTGCTGTAGTGATGGAACTGTCTTACTGGATTATTAAAATACACAGTAATTTCTGACCTCAAAATGTTGAGAAAAAATTAGGGGAATCTCAAAACTAAAGTTTAGGTAAAATGAAGAAATGCATAGTGATTTCAAAAAAGAAAACAATATAAAATTACTCTGTAACTGTTAGTATTGGTGACACTTTAAATTTATATATTTAATAATAGCTCAAAGATCGTTCTCCTGTAAATAAACTGATAATGATAAAATTTAACCACTTCATCTTTAAATGTTTAAAAATTACAAATTACAACCACTAAGTAACTCTAAAAAGATATATATATTTTACTACTAAGATTGCAGTAGTGTTTTTAAAATTCAAATATTATTTTTACTTTGTAGATAAAAATAACAGAAATATTAACCCAGTTCACATAACTTTCAAAGACATCTTTTGTTTGGTCCAGACATTTCACATAGGCTGCATCCAAAATACATAGTACTTCGATAACTTTTTCATTTTTTCCCTATATGAATATACAATTATTAAGAATGTTTTCTTTAATGGTGCTCAATCTTAAGAGATAGTATTTTTAAAGTATATTAAAACAAGTTTTAGTACATTATTAATAATTAGATATTAATTCTTAAATAAATTTCATCTTCATAGAATTTTATATTAAAATGGATGAGTGAAAAATAGTCACAGAGACTTTTTTTAGTGCTAAAGAACATCTATGCAATATACAAGCTTGCATTGGAACATATGAGGTTTCTTTTTTCTTTGAGACAAGGTCTCATTGTGTAGCCTAAGCTGGTCTCAAGTTCATGGGGACCCTCACACCTCTGCCTCCCAAGTGCGATGATTATAGGCATGCACCATGACACCCAGATCTGGAAACTACAAGGACTCTTGAGGCCACCAAGATATTTATTTAAAATAGTTCTGCTACTTGTAATATTTTTTATATATTTACTCAATTTTCTGAAAAGTTAAGGAATTACTAGTTATACACAAGAAGCTGAATACAAGGTCAAGCTCAAAGCAGACAGGCATCACAGATCAGGGATCTCTCTCTATACCACCTAGGAACTCTGGTCAGTTGTTTGGCCAGGAGGCAAAGAATGAGAGCAAGGAGAGGGCAGTGAGCAAAAGAGAGCTTTCAAGGGCACAACCCAATGACCTGTTCTTCCAACTAGGTCCCAACTTGTAATGTTTTCAGGATCTCTCCATATCACCTTCAGCTGGGCACAAAGCCTTCCACACAGCACCCTTGGGAGATATTTAAAATCAAACTGCAGCAAAGGTGAGGCATGGTAACACACACCTATAATCCAGCACTCCGGAGACACAGACAGGAAGATCTCTATCAGTTGGAGGCCAGCCTAGGCTCCATAGTGAGCTCAGGGACCCTGTTTTAAAACCAAAACAAAACACAAAAATGGGGATCAAACTTAAACCCTCCTTCACACTGGGCAAATGTTCTAACTCCTGACACAGGCCCCACCCCCTAAAACATATTTGATATTTAATATTACTTCCTAGATAACATTTCTCCTGTTTTCTTAATTTCATAATAATTTTAAACTACAATTTGAATGTATATAGGACCTCTTATATTTATCAGCTTAGATCTCTATTTTCTGTACTTTTCATGTGACTTTATCTTTCCATTGATTTCACATGTAATATTTTAAAATATTAATATATTTTGCTTCTATTGTTAATTATATCTATGTACACATTGATTCTGTTCAAATTTTTGAAGAAATTTCTCTGAATATACTGCCTAACAGTTTTCCTTTTGGCAGTTTCTTCCGTTACCTCTGTTCTATCAGAATATTTCTGAGTATCTTTGGTTTCTGTGAATTTTCATCTTTTAAACTAAAAGCCTTCCTCAAATGTCTGGTAATCTCAGGCTCTCTGTTTATAAAAGAACTGACCATCAAGGATGATAGCACACCCTTTACCAGCAGGAGATTTGGAGATCCAGATGTTAATGGGTGTCTAGACCCTAAGCACATGGTGAGCAGGTTTTCATGGGGCTACCCATGTTACTGTGTAGAAGGCTGCCTTTGAGACAGCTTTTGACATGTAGAATATGTGGGAACGAGTCACTCAATCCTCTGGCCATGCCTATGTAGTGGTTGGGGGTTCTGTTTGCTTAGGGATGGAGTGGCTAAATGCAGATGGTTGAGAAGCCAAGGATGTGGAGCACAATTTGAAAAGAGAATCCATTGAATGGGAAAAAATTTTGGTCAACTGTCCCACAGACAAAGGACTTCTATCTAGAATATATAAAGAATTGAAAAAAGCCAGCCCCTCTAATTCAAAGACCCAATCCAAAATGGACCTCTGTGATGAATAGGCACTTCTCAGATGAAGAAATACAAACAATTTTTAGACATTTACTTATTCTCTGTAGCAAGAAGTGGATGTACTTTCAGCCCTGATTGATCTGGTATTGACACAGACAGAGTCACCTTTTCTTTATAGAGAAAGAAGGTGAATATCTTTATATTCACTTTTTCTTTATAGAGACCAAATTTCTGGTCTGTTTCAGAAAGGGGGGGGGGGCAATGGAAGATAAAATGAAGCAAGCATTTGCTCTTTGCCAGATTATTCAAAGCTGAGGAAGGGACTTTGGTTTATAACATTTTCATGAATTGATTTTCAACAGTTTCAAGGTAGCTGGCCCAAACTTGGGGCCTGCTTGAGGTCTTCGATTTGAATGTCTTTGTTAGTTCTCCACATTACAACTGTCCACTCAGGCACCCCTACACTCTGCCTTGGTCTCTCTGCCTTTCAGTTCACATCTTGGGTGATGCTTTGCTTCATCTCTGTGTGCTCTTTCAAGAGGGAGAGGAACAAAACTTTTATTTGCTTAAGCTGCCATGATTATTCAGAAGCTGTAATATAATATTAAAGTTATAATAAGTGTGTGTTTAAGCAAATACTAAAGAATCTGAAAAAAAAGTTCAGAGATATATCTTCAAAATTCTTAATAATTCTTTATCTATTCCTCTGACAATTTTATTATGTCAAAATTTAAATAAGAATGGATTTAAAATGAAATGGTATCTTATAAAGTTTTCATTATTTTTGAAATTCTACCCAGTGGATTCTTAACTTTCAATTAAAGCCCCATACTTAGCAGTTAGAGTGCACTAATATTAACAGAAATCAAAAAACAAAGGGAAAAAAAAAGGTGAAATTAAACTTTTTCAAAGAGTTTTATGAAGGCATTTTCAGAAAGAATTTAAGATTGGCATTATTTAATTTTCCATAGGAATTACTCTTCCATTTTAAGATTAGTTCATACTATGGCATGTGTACATACACACACATACATATGCATTTGAGAAATAATAATTCAATTCTCTGGAGTAATTTTTGCTTTTATATGTATCCAGAAAACTGACAGAGGTTCATGTATTTTACTTCAAGTCAATTAATCAAATTTATTAGATTCCCCTAATCATTTACAGAACATTAAATTACTTAATTTTCAACAAATGCTGTAGTGTAATTTAAGACTTCCTCTTAGATATTCTAAATGCAAGTTTCTATGTAGTTCAGAAGATGGGAAAGTAATTGTCACGTAACAGCTACATCAATGAACTTAATGAAATCGCTTAATCTGGTATATGTATATCTATTGAAGCCCGAGACAGGAATCATACAGAGTGCAAGCAGCTATAGTGACACAACAGAAATAGCCACTCAAAGAGCTTAAAATGAAGTAGGACAGAAGTGAGAATGCATGCACATCCACTATGCAAGGCAAAGTCATAAATGCCACAAATTAAAGAAACTGAAATAGTCAACATCAGGACATTCCCAGCCATTTGTGTGTCTAACTGGGAACAGTGACAAGGTTGGGGCTCGTCTTGGAGAAAGATGACATCCATTCCAGCAGTGACAAACTCACTTGTGAAGCAGAGGGGTAGGATGATAGTGTGTGTGGCTAGCGAAGAATGTCAGCAAGAGAAAGTGAGAAGGAGAAATTGATGAAACTGGTTTCCAAGACTATTGCGGTGCCATGGGACCCCTAAGACTACGCCCAGGCTTGGCAATTTGCTAGAATTCTTAGGACTAACCACACAGTGGTACCCATGCTGTGATTTATTACAGTGAAGTATAAAAAGCAAAAGCAATAAAGGGAAAAAGCATATGAGAAAAAACCTGCAAGAAACCAGACACCATCTCCTCAGAGTCTTCTTCCAGGACAGCTACCCAGGAGGTCTCATTTTTCCAGCCACAGAATTGTGAACACCATGTTATGGACAAAGGAAACTTGGCTGAGCCAAGGAGTCGAGGATTTTTATTGGGAATTGGCATAGGCGCACCATTTCCTGAGTAGGTACCCAATTTCCAGGCATCCAGATGTAGAAGTGTTTAAGGTAAACCGCAATGATAGCACACTGACATAGGCAAGTGAGCCATTCTTACTCTTTCTGAAATGGTAGGCAGCTCCACAAAATCCAAGTCACCAGAAGCCAATCAAGAGACAACCCCTCAAGCTGACCTTTCTAAGGACAGCAGCCTCTTCTGCACCATCACCAAGTAAAAAAAGTGCTTCGTGAAAAGTCAGGGATACAAAGCCAGGAGTTTCCTGAAGCATTAAATCTTATCATTCATCTGTTTTGATAAACTGACAAGCAAACTTCCAACACAACAGAATTACCTGGAGTTTCATTTCCTACTCTCTACTAAGGAGAGAAAAGTGTTGGTTCAATGAAAACATTGCTGATAACATTAGTATTTTGATGGCATAATTAGTGCATTCCATAAAGTTCTCATTAGTTTTTCCTTAATAGTACAGGAAGTCATTCTTTAAAGATCAGATTTTTCTCTAAATAACTTTAAGCTAGAATAACCTTTCATTTTGGCATTGTTTTGTTTTAAATATGAAAACATAATTTTCATAAGGTTGCTAAGAAGGTTTAGATAAAAGCAAAAAGAAAATCATTTGTGTGTGCAGTGAAAGCTTATATTTTCAATATGCCATAAACTGCTTCACAAATTTGCTCATTGATTTGCACTCATACTGTTGGAATAAAACTTCACCTATGTGTTTCATGCAAAATACTTTTTAAGCCAGAAAGCCAAGATCAAGCTGCAATGCCCTGCACATAATATTTTTGTTGGCTATAGGTTTATTATTGCTATTATTTTTTATTCCTTAAATTTTTGAACTGTTATGAAATGAAAATGCACTAGAGCAAAGGAAACTGTTGTTAAACATGAAAAGCTAGTGGCCAACAACCTGATGTTTTCAACCTAATTTTGACCTCCCCCCACCCCAGGTCATAATTATATAAAGTATCTAAGGATTGTGAAAAAAAATAGTAATGAAGTTTCATGTTTTCATGTCATATGCTGACAACTTGAAGTTTATACTTTCTATTGTGACCGAAGCTGTAAGTCCAGATCAGAGAAGCGTGGTCTTTTGCAGATAAACAAGGTGAAAGAAGAAAACCATAACAAAGAGTACACAAAACCAAACTTGTTTCCTTAGCTAGTTATAAATTGTCAGTTGATAAAACACCTCTGAATCTTTAAGAATAAACCTCTTCTGTGATGGCTAATAAAAAAAGCACAACTATGAAAGAAAGGTTAAGGTAACCTCTGACGTTAAATTAAATTTACTTTATCTCCAGAATAGGGTGGGAATAAGTTTGGCTGAAATTACTAGGGTGTAACTAACATGATGATTATTTCCATGTGTTAAATGCCAGAGGAAAAGGCCTTGCAAGTGTACTAAGTCCAACTTTCATAAAAATAGAATTGCACAGGGGTCAAAATCCCATTTGTGCTATTTATCTTCCTCTTTAAATAAAATTATCATTTATTTTAGCTTCAGCAATAGGTTTTTAATTGTCACATTTCCCATAAAAATAAGTTCTTATGAAAAAGAAGGAAATGGGGATAGAAAAAATCTTAGTCTACTATTTCTCATAAGAAATCTGCAAATACTACCACATAAAATATTTAATAAGCCAAACTTTCTAATTATGTATAAAGTATGAAAATACATTCTGTAATCCAATACCTGCAACACATTGATATCTGGCACAAAGATATCATGGTTTATTTTTGCTTAGTGGTCATGTGCTAATTTTGTTATAAATATGACAGCTGACTGACAATTACTTTAAACAGTCAGCTAGCAAAACCATTTGAAGTTCTTAAAATTCCTTAAGAATAATTGAGTTGAGGCTTAAATGAAATATTTTTAAGTTGGAAAACATTCTCTAAATGAAGTGAAACCATGTAAGAAAATAAGGGAGTTTCTAGGAAAAATATTCTAAAAACAAAAGAGAGCACAAAAACACATTCCTGACAAATTTTAAGGATGTAAAAAAAAATAAAATAAAATCAGTGAAAGAAATTGTTTTGTGTTTGAAGGGCAGCTTCATTTCTTATTTTCCCCTTAATGTTGCTGCTAGTTTTACATTAGCATTTTCTTCTTTGACCATCTGTTATTTTTGCTTCAGTGTTTTCTTCTCTTAATTTACAGTAATTAAGCTTCTTCTCTAATTATTTCTATCAAGTCCAAGTTTATATGCATCTCTAATCAACAATTGCTGATGCATCAAATAAATAATACAATCACTCAACTGAAAAATATATTGTGTCATCATTTATAATTAGTTGTGTGGTGTTATTAGTTGTTTGTTGTCTCTCTGATTTCCTATGCTAACCCAGTTCAAGGGTGACAGCAGTGGGGTTTTTCTCACGAAGTGCCCACAGGGCTAGAGATTACAGAATTGAATGGAGATACCATAGGAAGATAATCACTGCTCAAAACAAAGTGCTGCTTCACTGCACAGATTAGTCTTGGGAAAACAAAAGAAGATAAGAAAGTTCCCACTCACTAAAGGTCAGGAATCCAACTCATTCATACCAAGTAGTCAAATACCATGCAATTCATAAAATGTTTCTTCTTCGCTGCTATTTGAAATATGTTACAACTGAATGACACTAATAAGACAGTAAAATAAAAAGTCTACTTTATTCTTTAGGATGAAAATTAAAATGTATATTGTCATTTTTTTCTTTAGAGAACTTGAAAAAATAAATACTATAGCAGGAGCATAAGTGTTTCTGAAAGGTAGTGAGACGTGGAGAGGCAGCCTGCCAGCTGGATTCTAGGAGCTAGTTTACAAAGGAAGAAAGTTTTTATTGCATTTATTGCAAAGGATGAGGGATAATACATGGCTGATACTGGAATGAGCTATAAAAAGAAAAGTAAATAGGAGAGCTGTGGGATATTATGGATCAGAATTATGGATTAAACTGCTCTTGGGATCCCTGGGAGACATCTACTTCAGCGGGAACAACACAGAAGTAAGTCATGGGCACACACCATGGGTAGGCTCCAAAGTGGGGAAAGGTGTTGGTTAGACACAAGCTCTTGTCAAATCTCTTACTTTACCTTAGGCTTCAGCGGCACACTTGTAAATTTTACACTATCAGTTGTGAAAGGGAAGAGATCTTGTTTATTTTTACTTACAAGTAATGCCCCTGATGCGGGAAAAATTCTGAAGCATCCCAGTATCAACAAGGGTTTGCAGTATGGGGAAGAAGAGAATTAAAGAAAGTTAATCAATTTACAACTATGGGCCAAAGCAACTAAAGTTATTTCACATTCCTTATTTTATGTTCAAACTTGGATTCAAACTCCAGACTGCTGCTGATGAGGCATAATTCCATTTTATTATAATCTTATCACATATAAAAACAGCTACTAACATAGGAGATTACGAGTGGCAAAGCTGGCTAGGTAAGTAGAGATGACCTTTTGTAAGATCCTGGAACACATGTGCCCTGCATGTGGACTTCTCTGGAGAACTTCAGCAGGTTTTCAAGAGATGGTCTAGGTCTTTGGTCAGCCTGAGGCCAGCACTGCCTCTCAGAATCCATTATGTAGAAGTTCTCTTGGTTTCCTAGAGACTGGATAGCATACAAGGGCAGAGACTCCAATAAGAGCTAGCTACCCAACCTTTCTTCTAGAAGCCAGTCCTACCTTCCCCAGGGTATTTTTTTTTTTATCTTGCTTTTACACTGCCTAAACTCACTTTGCAGAACCAGTGTTCCCCTCACTATTCACGTGGACTTTCTCAATTAAACTCTGCCAGTGTGTTTTTGCTTATTTAGTTCAGTCTTTGTTCTAGATAAGAAGACCCTGGAATCCAACTCCAGAGGAAGAGGTGAGCAACTCAGAACCAGGGAACATACGATTAGCTGGCCACTTTTAGAAGTCACTACCAGATAACAATATTATTTCTTCTTCCCAACTGATTTCCTACCCTGGTGTTCTCCCATTTGGAATTATTCTGACCCTCCATAGCTAATGTTGATTCTATGTTTTTGCCTCCCAAGTTTTCTTAACACGTATGTGTATAGCCCTAGGTACAGTGAACATTTTTCCATGTGCTATTAGCCCTGTTGCTGGAAATTGTAGGAACTCACCCAAGGCCTGCTCCTCATTGGGTAGCATCCGTAGCAGCTCCATTAATACTTTTAATTTTAGAGTTTTTTTTTTCAGTCTCAAGAGTTTTGATTTAACGTCTCTTAGTACCAAAACTTCACACTGCAGATGTGAAATAAATTGATTAAAAAGTTGTTTCAAAATAAAGTATAGTCTCAGAAGCAGTTTAGTTGTGATTGGCCAAAACAATGAAATACTTCTCAGAATGTTAGCTAACGTTTTGTCCCAGGGCAGTCATTAAACAACTTGCTACTCAGTGATACATGAACTAAGCAGTATGGAACAGCCCTTTAGCTTTTTTGCTTTCTTTATTTAAAAATCTTCTGAGAGGGTGTCTGGAGGACTGTGGATATCTCAGCAAGCAGGGGAGGATCGCAGGATCCAGAGGCACCGCGGCCTGTGGTGAGTGCTCAGCACACTCTGCCCAAAGCCCAGACTGTTCTCGACCCTCCAGGCTTCCGGGTGCAGTGAAGTGGAGAGGTGGGTTTGAGGCATCTACATCCACCTCCCCATCCCGGCTGCACTTGGAGAGCTGTGGAGTTTCCAATGGGCAGGTGGGCGCACAGTGTCCCTGAGGCCCAGCTTATCTGGAACTGCAGAGTTCTGAACAGGCAGAGGAGGGCAATTGGTTCTGCAGGCCCAGTGGCTTGGGGTAACGGGGTGCCAGAGTCTCAGGAGTTGCAAACATAGAAGGGGATTTCCAACAGACCCTGAAGAAGCTTTCAAATAACACTTGAAACACAGAAATATAGGAAAATAACAAAACAAAAGACAAAATTACAACCTTAAACCTCCAGCCCATCTCAAGAAACCCTAGGAGCAATGTATACAGAAGAAAACATATGCCATTCATCTCAAATATCGGACACAATAGATACTGAAATTAACAAGCAACTCCAGGAAGCTTTAAAGAAATTCAAACTCGAAATAATCTCCTAGGTAAAAGAAGAAATGATAAAAGAAATTAAAGAGATTCTGAATATATCTAAAGAAAGCACAGATAAAAAATTGGAGGAACTAAACAAAAAGATAGAATCCCTAGACGAGCAATATAAGAAACAAACAGAATACATAATGCAGATACACAAAGATATACAGGAAATAAAAAACTCCACTGAAAGTTGTAAAAACCGCCTTAATGAAAGTGAAGATAGAATTTCAAACCTTGAAGACAGGATTGCAGCTAGTGAACAGGAAGGGAAAGATCTTTTAAAAATAACAAGGAATCGGGAAACAACAATTCAACAACTGCAAGACAATGCAAAGAAAAATAACATAAGAATGAGGGATTAATGAAAAAGAAGGAGACAACATAAAGGATGTCAAGAGGATATTTAGAAAAGTAATAGCTGAAAATTTCCCAAGCATGAGATCAGAAACCGACATCAGGATCAGTGAAGCATACAGAACTCCAAATAGTCATAACCAAAATAAAACTACACCCAGACATATAATAATCACCATCCCAGAAATCCAACACAAGAATAGATTATTAAAAGCTGTCAGAGAGAAAAGACAGATCACTTATAAAGGAAAACCAATAAGAATCACAGCAGACTTCTCAGCACAAACAATAAAGTGAAGAAGAGCATGGAGTGAAGTATTCCAGTATCTTGTTTTGACTGATTAGACATTCTGTCTGATAGTATCAAGTTTGAGGGTATAGGCAACTACTTTGAAGGCAATAAGATTCACTAAGATGCCCATTCTGGTTTGACTATTGTCTCCTTTGGAAGTCCTGTAATGTTTACAATGCTTAAGTTTTATTGGTGTTGTTCTCTACTGTTTTGTTCAACTTTATAATATCTAATGAGATAGACAATTCTTTTTAAGGAAACAAGAGACATTGTTGATAACCATTGTTGATAACCTTGTACTCTGTTTTACATAATGTGCTATGTCTATCCTTGGTTTTGATTGACAGTTTTGTTTTGCCATATTTGACTTTATTCTCTCCCCCCTGCCAAAAAAGTAATAAGAACTAAGGAGTAATAAAACCCAAAAGTTGTAAATTTTGTTGTAAAAAAGAGAGAGAAAAAAAGAGCTCTAAAGGATACAACAGCAAGTGTGTTTAGGGGTGTTAAATAGCTAACCATATTAATGTTTTTGGTTGGATCATTGAACACAACTGTTTGCAGTCTCACTGTTTGAATGTCCACTTTGTATGCTTTGATACTGTGATTTGAGCAACTATCTCTAAGATGATAATATGTAATCTATTAACTGGTGATTTCCTACTGTTACTTTTTTTTTTTTGTAGTTCTGTATTACTTGTACCCTTACACCACTTTGTTTTGTTTTGCTTTTTCTCTTTTTCCTTTTAAATAAAATTTTAAAAAATCTTCTGAGAGTCAGGGCATGGGCTGAGGTTGTTCTCTTCCTCTGCCCATCAACTAAGGTCCAGGCTTTTGCTGCTAAACTAGTGACTGGCCACCACTCATGTGGATTAAATAAACTACAAAGGCTCTGAACAGAAACACACCTGTTAAAAAATGAGGGCATTTTAACAACAGAAGTACTCTTTTCAAAAAGGCCTATGAGGATTGGAAGATTAACTTTTTCCCTCCAGTAGAAACATAAGGATATAAGCAACCAAGATTTCTGTCCATATAAACAGAGATTTATTTTATTTTATGTTTTGATTTTTTCAGGCAGGATCTCAGTATGTAGTTAAAGCAGCCTTTGAACTCATATAGCCGAGGCTGGCCTTGAACTCACAGCAATCCTCCTGGCTCAGCCTCTCAAGTGCTGGGATTATAGACACGCACAACTAGGCCCAATAACACACACATGTTAATGAGATTTTGTTTATCATATCATTGCAAAATATAGATTTATTATTAGACATGGAATGAAAGTTATCAAAAAATCCACAAAAACCCATACAAAGTAATATAAAACATGATTAATGGAAAATAATGAAAATGCAAAAAGTTAAAATAAGCCTTCCCTGGGGCTGGGGATTTAGCTCAGCGGCATAAGTGCCAGCCTTGCAAGTGTGCAGTCGTGAGTTTGATCCCTGGTACCGATAAAAAAGAAAAAGACAAAAAAAAATTTTAAAATAAGCCTTCTCTCACATTATATCTTAAAAGATATATGAACACTGCAAGTAAGTTGATGGCATAAAAATTCATTTTGATCATTCAGTTTAAAATCTGAACCTTCAAACTTGTCTGCCTATCACATGTATGAGTCTATTATTTTTCTAAGCATTGATAGAGAGCAGCAGCTTTTGAGTTCCATAGTTGCATCTTATCCTCTGACTCCATTTTGAACACAGAAGAGCTTGCCATGAATTACTTCACTTTGGATAAAAATGCTAAGGTAAAATGACTGTATACCTTGTCTGAACAAGCAAACAATCACCATCTGTGCAACACAGCAATGTGGCGTAGACTGATAATGACTTATTTGTGCTGAGAAAAGATTACCACCTGTGAACTTACTGTTGGACAGCAGGAACACATAGACAAATGGACCATACCAGGGACAGTGGGTACAGGAGCTTATCAGACACACCAGACCAATGAATAGGGCAACTTCACCTATGATGCTTGAGAGAAGAAAATACTTCAGTCTGCAACAAAGCATGCCGGCGACCACCTTACCAAAGTCCAGCCCAGAGAACACATCACAGTGTCTGCCCAGAAGATTGCCAGGTGACCAGCTCCCACCCATCTCTAAATTTCAGCTTCATTTTACATGCGGTTGACACCATTCACTATAAAATCCCGATACTTTGCTCTGACATCTCTGCCTTTGGTTCATTAATAATATCCGACCACCAGCAGTGACTCTGCTTTTGTATTGACTCTGCATTGACTCTCATATCCTACAGATTCTTTATCATGTCCTTTATGTGTCCTAAGTGTTATTTGCTGTGCTATGTATAATTTGAATATTAAGACAGTGTTAGATGTTAGTAAAAATTGGCCTGCAAGCAAGAATTTAGAATTTTTTATGGTCATGACTCCAAGTAAAACCAGCAGTACTCAGAAAAGTACAGCTAATGATATCAATGTAGCTTACAATCTATTGATAGTCAACAAATTCTGATACTTGAAAGCTATGTCAATGGTATACCTTACTCAGGGAAGCATTCTAATATATTGTTTGAAGATTTCAAAGCATATCTCATATACTTACTTATATATTTATATTTATTTACTTATTTTTGGATTTTTTCAGGCAGGGTCTTACTATGAGTTCAGGCTGGCCTTGAACTCACTATGTAGCCCAGGCTGGCCTCAAACAAATAATACTCCTGCCTCAATCTCCCTAGTACTGGGATTAAAGGTTTGTACTACCAAGCCCAGCTAACATATCTTTATTATAACCTTAAAAATACAAAAATAAACTTTATTTCCAATTTACAGATAAAGAAACAGTGGCAGAGGGGTTGATCAACAGGCTAAGATCAAAGATTTGCTGAGAATGAGCAAAAATGTCAATAGTAGAACATAAGCAATGTGGTTTCAGAGGATGTTTCTTAAATTCTTTCTTGTGATGTAACCAGGATCCCTCAGAACCGTCCTTCACTTCCCTTTTGTTCTTTTACTTCATGTTAATCCTTTGGCTAAAGAAGGTCCACCTAAATGAAGGTGCTAGCTTTCTTAAGATTTTGAAACCCAAAATACATTTGTGTAACCATTCCTTGAATTCCGGAGAGGATACCACAAAACCCAAGACTCACTGCCTCCTTCCCTCCCCATGGAAGCTGCTTTGTGTTCCAGATCCTGAAGAGCTAGAGATTCTATGAAGTAGCCTGTGGGGGACCTGCTGGTCCTGCCTGCTGGCCTCCTACTCCTCCACCCTGACCTAGAGACAAAGGAGGATGAAAGACAGACACGGCTAGTTTAATATGCAGTTACCCAGAGGGTTCTTGCTTCTAGTGGGCAGAGGAGCCCCCGAGGGGGCTCCTACTTTTATTCACTCAGATGTGGTACAAGCAATCAAAGTAACACAAGATTCCTCTGCCTTCCAACATCCATTAGAACACGCTCAGGTGAGCAATTGAATCTCAGCTGTGTCGACTTTTCTCAAGAACCTGCAACATGACATCAGCCCTGCCTGCAGCTTCTCTCTTTCGTGCTCACAAAGGAGGCATTTAAGCCTTCTTCTTAACTGGTCTCCCACAGTAGCCCTTCTATCTTTTTCAGGGCCAGCTTGGAATAAACCATATTCTTTTCTACCAACTCTAACCTGTTGAATATTGATACTTAAATGGTAGCATCCCAGGCCTTTGATCCCATAACTCTGCCATTGCAATAAAATATATGTCCTTTACAGGATTGTTCTTCCTTAGTCTCAGTGTTGTATCTCACTACTTAGAAGAGTAGGTAGAAAGAACACTTACCATATATTTATTGAAGAGAAAAACAAAAAGACCTAAGTATATGCAGAACAGTATTGCAGTAACTGCAAATAATAAATATGGTCCAAAAACATAAATACTAATTATTAATTTGACTAAAATTATTATATAATGTTAATGAGCTTGAAGTACATAATACAAATGGGGTTGTAATCCACTTGCATTCAGCTGAACCTCAGTAATACCCTAGGGACAATTCCCCTGACTTTTGTCCTAAGGTCTACTACCAGGAGAGAGGTGGATATGAGAAAGACAGAGAACCCTTGTCCCCTTTGGAAAATTCTGAAGTCCTAAATCATCCATGCTAGACCTGTTGGTATGATGTACAATAACATTTCTTCATTTGCATCTCACTAAATGTTGGTGCATATGGACTGCATCTCAGATATCCAATTATAACAGAGTGAATTATGGGAAAAGACATGCAACAGACTCAGCACCCCACCCAGCTCTAGAGACCCAGTGGATACCCTGGACCTGACACAACATTTTAAATTCTTACACCCAGCGTTTTCAGTGCGTGTACCTTTTCCTTTCCTCCAATACAACTTGTTTATTTTGAGAGCAGCATTGCCTAATTAAGCTTTGCTGCTTTTTCCTTACCACCATGACAGTCTAGGTTCAGTTCTTCTTTGTTTGTGCCCAAGAACCAGAAACTTATCCAGGACCCCATCATCATGGCAATGAGGTGACTTAAATTTGAACCTATAATATGAAGGCAATTGAAAATGCATAAAACTGCAAGCAGACAGAAAAAGTGGTCTTTTCAGTCTTACTGTTTTAAAATATGGAAGTGAATGCCAGAGGAAATACTCTCAGTGGAGGGGGGCATTTCCTTTAAAGGAAACCTGAGTTTGATATCATTTCATTGCAGATTTTTACATTTTCAAAGTTGGTATTAATTTTTATGTCCAGGATCCATCCCTAAACCTGACACACACACACCAAAAAATCAACAAATTGCTTTAGTGTTCCTGAGAGGCTTTTTTGCCTAAGGATTGCTTTTCTAATTAAGCCCTCCAACTCTTTAACATGCTAATTTCACCCATTAACTTGTAGATGAAGTGGTTTCAGCTGTTATCTGTGAATCTCTCACTACAGAGCTTAACCTACAATTTTGTGAAAGTTGATTTGAAATTTTTTTGCAAATTTTTGTTAAAGATACTTGAGTTCTTATATAGTGCCATTTTTTTCAGTGTAGGCCACTCAGATCAGATTTTATGGATCTCTTTTTTCCATTATTAGGAATTGAAAGGCTTTCATGCTGAATTGTATTCCTAAGCCTTTTTATCTTTTATCTTGAAGCAAGGTCTCTTTATGTTGCCAAATTGCAGGGCTAGGCCTGCACTTGTGAGACTCCTGCCTCAACCTCCCAGAGTGCTGGGCTTTCAGGTAGGTACCACCACACCCAGCATATTTTATGGATCTTTAAGGTGAAAAAGATAAAAAGAATTCTACACTGAAGCGGGAATGAAATAGTGAGGATGTACTGTGTAAATCCTCAGTTCTCTGGAGGACATTTCTGAGTGTCAGGATTTAAAGAGCTTCCCAAAATAAAAGATGAAGGAAAAAGCTATTAAAATTATAAAGCTATGAACATTTCTGGAAATTTTAACCAAAAGAAACATCACTTTGGGACAGAAAGGTAAAAAGTGGCTAAAACTGGAGGGGAAAGAAGTGTGAGGAGCAGTTCCCAAATCCCTGCACAGGGACTTCTTGTAAGTAGTCCAGCAGGTTTCCCACAGAATGGCTTGGACCTCCGGTCAGCCTGAGGAATGGATGATACAAAAACACAGTCCTCAGCAGGTTTTTGGCATGTCGGTCTTCCCTGGAGCTGTAAGGTGTACTTCATTTCCTACTTTTACTAGCCCCAAACTCACAGGTCACACCTGGTTTCTTTTCTTACCTTTACTAAAACTTTGCTGCCATCTGCACTTGTTTTGACCAGTTTCTTTGCTCAGGACAGAAGGAACCTAGAGGCCACCTTCAAAAGGTGACTCAAATGTTCCAAACCCAGCAGTACATTAGCCATGTCTGACATGTCACTAGAACCTAGGTGGAAATGCAGAAATATGCAAAAGGAACACCGATTTTAAAGACAATTAAATCCCATTTGCACTTACTTTGCCTAAAGATATATTTATTTCTTTGCAACTTGGGATTCTTTTCTATTTATTTCTGTTTCTCATTGCTATAAAAAATAGAAGTTAAAATAACAGTCCTTGTCTGATGCAATCACTGACAAAATAAGTATATGTATTGTGTTGTTACTGTTATTATGGTACATTTTGTCTATTTGGTCATGGGAATGAGTATCTTGGCATGCAATGGTGCAGAATGCTATGCAAGGTTATCTGTACCTCAGTAATGGTGTTTCTCTGGAAAATGCCTTTTGGGGAGAACTGCCTTAGTACTATGAGTTTAGGAAGCTTTAGTCTTATATTAAAGATTGAGGATTCCTAAGCTAAATGTTTAAAAATTGAAATATTCCAGTTTCCAAATTATTGAGGACACATCTGATAGTTCAAGTTCAAAATTCCACACCTAACCTCATAAAACAGATGGTAGTCAAAATGTATGTACACAAAAATGTATATAAGTATTTTCAGGCTACATATATGAAACAAATGAATTCCATGTTGATTTGTGTCATATGCCTAAAATACTTCATTATGAAGATGTGAATATTCCCAAACCCAAAGCACTCTGTCCCAAACATTCTGGATAAAGGATATTTAAACTTTTGATAGAGACTGTTAGAAGTACATTCAAATAAATTGCTGGGAGCTCATATAATGCAGGTCTGCACATGCACTGAAGTAGGAGATTAGGGCTGGTGTACACCTGACAAACACTTAATGGAATATATCAGATGTCATAAAAAGCAGAGGACAAAAACAATACATGGGACCCAACATGATCTCACAGTTCCTGAGCACCATATAAGGAACCAATCAGAAAGTGATTCTTTTCAGTGCTACATTTGAGTCTGCTACTGTTTGCAGGACCAATGAGAAAAGTGTATTTTCAATACTCCATTTATATCTAAAGGGAAACCAGTAGAGTCTTTCTCTAGAGCAGTAAACAAGGCTCCAGAAAAAGTTAGTTTTTGGTAGGACAACTGTAACAATACCTTCTGTGCAGGAGGTAGAAGACAATCAAGGAATTTCAAGTACAAAAGCCATCATAGGGTCCTTGTAATTCTACTCATAGGCCCATCCTTGATTCATAGTTTGTTATTTTTTAGCTTTGAATAATTACATAACCTTGCTACCTATTCTTGTGTGTTATACAATTCTTTGCACAAGAACCTGGAAAGAATCCTATGCAAACCTCCATCTGCTAATACACTATCCTATAAATCCTTACACTGTAATCTGCAGTCAAGAAAAAGGACCCAAGTTCCTCAACTTCAGCCCACCACAGGCCTTGCTAATCACTGTCTGATTAGCACAAGAAATGTGCCCATGAAAAAGCATGGGACTTCTTGGAAAGGCCCCTTACCTTTTTACATATGACTTTTTAATAAAAAGTGCTAAGCTGTCACCAATTCATAATAGTAATCAACGCTTCCCAACATTTCAGAGGATCCATTATCTCCATTCCCTTACTTCCCAAAACAACTCTGTGCATATTTAGTGAGCAGGTGAGTGGTACCCCAGGAAGACACAGAGCTCTAGAGTTGCCATCTCCTCTGCAATTTCAGGTAGAAAGAAATCCACATTTATGAAAGAGAAGTCACATGAATTATTTTATTTTCTCACTGATTCATTTGCCAAAGAGCAAATGCTGATGTATTAAAATTGCTTTAATTATTCCATTTAATTGTTCCAGCAATTACATTCTCTCAAATTAATTAAGAGTGTTGCAAGCATTTTTAATGGAAATAAAGTTGTTGAAGCTAAGTAAAGAGATGGAGAAAGTACTCTAAACACTAATAGAAAAGTAGATACCAGTGTGTTTGAAGCCATCTCCTTCTCAGTGAGTTTTTCATTTGTTGGTTTAATATAACTCTGGGACACTTACCTCTTTGTTTTTCATCTGAATATAGAGAATCATTTCTTTTAAAATTATACTTTATTACTCAGTTAAATCTACTTTTTAGGAATTTAAAACTTGGTGGTTTAAAATACTAGGGTTTTCTTACCTTACAATTCTGGTTATCAGAGGCCTGAAGTGGATCTGACATGTGGAGCGAGGAAAGACAGGGAAAGTGTCAGGGTTTCCAAAGGCTGCAGGGTGGGTCCATTTCCTCAGTTTTCACATGTTTCTCTCATTTGTTGGCTCATGGCCTTTTTCTTCTATTTTCAAAGCCAAAGCAGCTTTCTCCTGTTGCACTGTTTCTGTTCCCTTTGCTCCACCCTCTTATTTGTTGATTGAAGAAAGTGAAATTAACCATTGTTGATTCCATAGAGCTCACCTGGGCAGTCAAGGCCAAGCTCCTCATCCTGAGGGCATCTTATTTGCAATATTAATTCCATTTCCAACCTGAAATCCCTGTCCTGTGAAGTCTAACATATTCACAGGTTTCAAAGGATGAAGATGTAGCATTTTGGGGAAGATAACAAAACAGTAAGAGCCTCTCAGCTTTGTCCTCTGTTAGAAGCTCTTGGGCATGGGTTTGGGGCCTGCAGTATGGCCTAGATGACTCCCAGTGAAGTGGTACTGGAGGAGAGTGAAGCAGCTTCATGGTGAACATTGTCTGAAGGCTTAAAAGTGTTAGGTACCTAACCCAGGACTCCTTTTAGATGCTCAGAGGCTAGTGCTCAGAAGGTTAGAAGTGGCTTTATATTTTTAACAAAATGAAAGTGCTTCTAAATAAACACTTCAGTGATGTTTATAAAGTTGAAGCAATTAAATGACACTGGTTTCTATCATGCTATGTAAAAATATGTATAGATTCTCTGACTTTTGACTGTAAAGTCATTTGTAAAAACCCCCAAATCTTGAGAAAAACCCACACATTGAACAAGGTCTAAAACAGAAACTAAGGCCCTGCAGAAAGGGCTCCTCCTCCAGCAGCCCTTGCTTCTCACAGGGAGGACAGAGAAGGCGCTGCTGTTACAGAACACAACTTGGAAGGTGTAACCCAGCCCAGAACTACTGCATTCAACAAAGAGTCACACTTCTCAGATCTCAAGTTATTTCTTTCTACTACTGATGCTAGCAATATGGAAACAAGTCTAGGCCTTTATAAACAAAATGATAAAGAGCAAATTACAATCAGATATATCCATATACATTTTGTGTAATTTAAGTAAAATTTTTACATCTGTCTCTGAAAGCTCCAACAATGCTTGAATTAGGAAGTTCTGACTACCTTAGACATTGACATATTTTCCTTTATAAAACACCTGAAATGCCCAGATTTCATTTCTGATATATACCTGGATGTAACAGAAACAGCTGCAAAGGAATACCACCCAATGTAAAGCAAGTGAGCACAACTATTTAGGCACTGAGTAATTTTATTCTGGAGACCATAAAATAACCTTTTATTATTGTTATTGGCATAATCAAAAAAGCAATTTTTGTTATGATTTTAAAAGGTCACAGATTATTAACTTTTTGATGGACAGAGTTATAATACCCTTTGGTTCCTAAGTGTTAGTTTATATAATGGCTCTGCCAGATTATATAGTCTTTTTAGGGGCAATGGCTGGAGTTTTAAATCCCTCAAAAGGAATTATTCACTATATGATTGTTGTCAAGCAAGACAAGGCCTCATTTTAGAGCAGATTCTCAGAGGAAAGTGTTCCATAGATAGCAAATATACATTTTTTAAAATTTTTTAAATTTATTTTTTGATTCCAGGGCATTCTTTTTTTTTTTTTTTTTCAGGCTATCCTTCTCTTCACTAAAAATTACGGTGTGAAATAAAATCTGTCTTTCCAAGTTTCCCATTAAAAAACTAATTTGTAAGCAAAGAAGGATGGGAAGGATTGTCATATACATGTTTGATACAAAGAAAGCACATTGAAAATGTACAATTTATATTTAGCAACTGTAGGGAACATCTGTTAACTGAGGGACATATCTATTATTCAGGGCAAACATCAACATAATTATTCAATCATATATCTGAAAAATCTAAGCTTTGTGCTCACAGAGAAATCTCTCCCTTCCCTTTGGGCTGGTGCAGAGAACAGAATTGTAATTTGTATCAATGGGATTGTTAATGAAATAGAACTCAGGTGGCAGCTCACAGTTGAATCACTGGATGACTTATCAAGTGTTTTTGTTAAGTGAACTGAGGGATGACATGGAAATTGGTTAACAGCTGAGCAGGGGAAAGCACCATCCTAAGAATAAACACTAGCAATACAATAGGATGCTAAGTAGTCTACGGTGCTAGGCAAAGTCTTTAGGTTCTGGACTGAGCAAGGGTGAATAAGAGACATTGGGTTTTCTAATGTGCCCAGAGGACATTTGTGGAGCTTACACCAACAGCTATTTTTCTTATGCTGAATATAAGGTCTAATATAAGCAAAGAAAAATTCATTAGTACTTTGGATCCCCTGTGCCCTCCTGCAAAGGCACATCTGTGTAGCATTCAGTTTTAATTTACACATGGTGAGAAGGTGTAAAATTCTCCCTTTAAAATATTTTGCTTCTTGAAGAATTATCTTGAGGAATAGAAGGGTTCCAAAGAAATTCAATAAAGCTGACTAAGAATGGTGCTGTACTACATTGTTATTATGAACAGAACATTGTTCTTCATATGTCGTAATGCATCTTTGGAGGGAATACAGCATAAATAAAAATACTGCTATATATAGCTACATAGCCCCCAGTCCAAATCCTGTTCTGATCATTTATTACTTTTGAAATCCTGTACAACTGAATTAGCTGTTAGCTTGAGTTTGCCATGACTTCTGCACCACAGCTGTTCCGTCTCTTGTACTAATCTCTGTATAATTTTATGACATCCTCTTAGAAGATATTTCCTAGCCTTACCATCTAAAATTATAACCCATATATGCTATTGTGATTCTTGCTTCATCATAGCACTTCTCACTTGCTAATTAAGCCAATCTTCTTTTTGAAAATTTATCATTCATTTTTTATCTGTTTTTACAGTTAAAAATATAAACACCAATAGGTTGGATTTTTTTTGATATCATGATTCATTTTCATATGTTTGAGGACTACAATCACAGCCAGTATATAATATATATCTATTAAATAAATAAAGTAATAGTCTCCATTTTTCAGTCCTGTATCAGTCAAGATGTTTTCTATTGCAATTATAGACAACTTGAGCTGAATGTGTTTAAAGAGAAAATGCATCATTCTTCTTAAACTAGAAACTCACCGATGTCCACTTGCAATATTGACATGCTTATGCTCTTTTTATTTTATTCACCTTCACTTTTCTGTCAAAGCTTTTTGTGCTGTGTAGACTGGGCACCTTAAAAAAACAACCGTGACTTTCACATAGTTCTGGAGGCCACAAAGTCCATGAGCACAGAACAATAAGAGGCAGTTCCCTTTCTTGACTCTAAATCAGCTACTTTTTTGCAGTGTTCTGACTCGGGCAAACAGGGAAGGAAGCCCTGTGGAGTTTCCTAATTCAGTTCATGAAGCCTCCACCTTTCTGACCTAATCAGTTTCCAAAGCCTCCCCACTACATACTATCACAGAGACATCAGGTTCTACATATTTCTATTATAGAACTGGAGGACAAAAACATTTAGTTTATTGCACTCAACAAGCTGAATTCTCTGATGCTGTCAAAAAGCCTAAGCAGCAGATGGGGTAATTTGGTTCTGCACGTAAATCAGTAAAAACAGGAAAACCTACCTCACACCCACATGATAAAACCCTGTGCTTGGATTAGACTGAATTCACCTACTTCAGCTGCATTCTCTTTGCCCAATCTTTCTTAAGTTTAAGTGGGTATCAGAATCACCTGGAACCCCTTGAAACAGGTTGTTGGTGAGGCTCCTTCCTCAAATTTCTGATGTAACAATTTCAAAACATAACCTGAGAGAGAGAGATCATGAACTCAATCCTCAGTACCAAAAAAAAGAAAGAAAGAAAGAAAAGAAAAGAAAAGAAAAGAAAAGAAAAGAAAAGAAAAGAAAAGAAAAGAAAAGAAAAGAAAAAGAAACATAAATTGAATGTATATTTGTAGTAAGTCCACAGAGAAGTCTGAGGAGGCACCTGACCACATTTGGAGAATCACAACCTTAACGAATTATCAGTCTTGAAGAGAAAATCACAAATGCTTTCCTAAGGCTAAATTCTTGAATGATATCTGGAAAAAAAAATGGAGGATCATGGTTTGCCAGGTGTTCAAGAGCCATCTTCAGAGCTGAAGATAGGATCAATGTCCCCTTACACAGGTACAAATGTCAGGAACAAGGAGGAGAAAGATGATGAATTCTGGACAGAAACTGCCAGCTAAACACCCTCTTTCATGAAACTGGCTTTTAAGAAACCAACAATGTACATAGTGTTTAACCCCATCAAGAGTTTTCCTGATCAAGAATGTATTAGCTGAATTCAATACTTGTCTTTTCCTTCCTAAGCTTGCTCACTTTGCATATGCAAAGAATCACATATTTTCGCATACTGTTCCCCTGTCATTTATTGCATTTCTCTTTTCTACATGTCTAAGGACCTGTTTATCCAAGGACTATTAAACAGCACTCTGAAGTAATTAATAGAAAGCAAAACAATTTAATAGCAAGGAAGGAGTCACTTAAAATCAGGCTTATGTAAGATGGTAGAGCTAGTCAGTAACTTGGGGTATTTTAAACAAAAGCCTATATTACATAGTACGATGCATTGAAATCTAATATAAAAACTATAGTAAAGGGTGGTCTGCCTGATTTCAAATTGCCCTCTGAATACCATACCAAAAGGATACAAAACTTAGATTGATTTTTATTTCTCATTTGAGAAGGGGTATTTGGCGTATGCAGGAAACATAATTCAAGATTATGTCTAATCGACATACAAGTTTTTCTGCTCCCACAGTTTGCTTATTTTTGAGACTAAAGACTCACCTTATAGAATATTTATTACATACAATAATTTCTTGGAATTTGTTGAGGACTGATTCCTAGAACTTTCTCAGATAATACAAATCCACATAGGCTCAAATTTCTAGCATAAAAAGGATAGTATTTACATATAACTGCGTGCATCCTTCCATAACTTCTCTGCATCATGGTCTGTGAGTTCAAAAAACAGAGAGTACTGTAGAAAATGGTTATTATTAGTGGTTTTAGAGGCTGAAGATATTCTTTAATTTACCTGAAGACAACAAATAGACGTAGATTTTTTTAAAAAGCAAATGATACATGTGTTCAATCACATTTTCTTATAATGAAGAATCAACTCTTTTTAGTAATTTTAAGAAAGAAAAGGTGGAATGTGTACCCAAATCTCAGAAAAGAATCATCAAAAAAACCCCAAAGCAATATATAAAACACATATGGAAATATTTAAACATTTTAGATTATTGAACTAGGAAACCAGAGTCTATTACGGAAAAAAAAAAAAGAAACAAAGCTCCACATGTACACTGAAACACTGAGTCATTATGATAATTAAAGAAGTAAAATATGCTCTCATCACTGCAATATTGATAGCATGTCAACCATCTAGCATATGGTGGGTAAGAATGCAAACATAATTTTGAGATAATAACTAGGCATTAATTTTTGCAGTTCATAGAGGATTCTGGTATGCACTTTATTTATATACCCTACTGTATTAGAAGTTTGTTGGGAAGAAAAAAGTTTGTTGGGAGCTTTGGCTGTTATTAAACAGCTCATAGATTCAAGGCCAAGCTTATTATCAGCAGTCATTAGCCCATCAGTGTATATTAGCTCCAATTTCTTATATTCTCTCACAGAGAGTAGGCAGCAATTTATTATAAACATGTTATACAGAAGACTAAAGTTTAAATGCTTAAATCTTGCACCTTGTACCACGGGACAAGAAAAATCTGAAATTTAGTTGATTAAATGACCTTCTATTCTTTCAATTAGGTAGCGTTACATTTCCCCTTGTAATATGCCTTCCAAACTCTTCCCAGGCCATCAGAAGAGTCACCTTCCAGAAGATGACTGGAACCAGCAGGTGGGTCTATGATGCAGTGGCTTGAGGAAGCCACTTGTGTCCATGTTGCGTGGACACTCAGAGATGCTGGCAATGCAGAGTGGCTGAAACTAAGTATCTTGTTCCTATCTTCTGAGGCACAAAAATGTTATTAAGAGTTGAGCTGTCTGGCAGAAAGAGTGGCATAGACTACACTATGACTATGGAGAAAATTCCTGAGGGGGGAGCTCTGTATCTACAGGTAGGATGAATCAATCCATACCTTTTGCTTCTACAGGTTACAAAAGGATCCTTCCATGAACAGTCAGTTACTCTAAACTGTATTTTGCACATCTGCTGACAGAGTCAAATGTTCAAGGGGGCTATAAAAAATCAGAACAAAAAGATATTCCACATGGTTAGTCCACGGATTAACAATACCTTGGAACAGAGAATTTTACAGCTGATAATGTCTAATAATAAGCACAGAGATACCATTCACAGAGTAGTGGGTGGATTAAAAATTGGAATGAGAAAGTGAAAGCAAGAGAAGAGATGCAAGAAAAGCTGTTTCACACTCACACACAACCCGAATGTGGCCGACAAAGATGGGCATACTAGGTAGATTTCTTTAATTTCGGAGAGACTGGGGAAGTTGAGGTGGGGAGGATTCTAGAATAACTGTGCTACTCTTACCACTGTGGAGATAGGGATTCATGATGATAACATTACATATTTTTATTTTTCCTGCCACATATTTTTAACTTTCTTTTTTCCTGTCTGATGTAGTAGTCTGCTAGTTCAGGAAACAAAAATGATCCCTAAGCATGAAACTGTAATTGTAGCTTTAAGCCTTTACCTCTGATTTCCTCAGACTTGATGAAGTTCACTGTGTCTACTAAAATTGGAGTTAAAGATGAAGAGAAGTCAGTTTCTTGGTGCTCATCACAACCCACTACCTCTCTATCTCTACTCAAATGAATGAGACCAGAGACGGGAGAAAGCACTTGCTAGGTTAGTCTTACTGCTACCAATCTGCACGGCACAAGAGCCAACCACAACATCCTTCCATCCTTCCTTTAATTTGCCTAAAATTAAATGACAGATGAAAAGATGTTTATTTGATAACTGAACGTAAAAGAATGAATACGTAGTTATGCAGTGAGGAGAAATTTAATATCATATCAATACCTTAAGAGATCACCTCTCTGATAGCAGAGAGGTGATATTATCACTTAGCTAAATTGACTAGATACCTGAAAGGCAAAATACAATCCTGCTTTGAGAAAGGTAAAGGTTGAATGGAAGGAAATCTGCACATCAGAGAGCCATTGCTCTAGATCATTCAGTCACATGGTATGATGGTGCATTGTACTGCTGATGACTGAGTTGGATTCTAAAAGTGGTCTAGTCTTTTCGGATTCTTATTTTTTAGATATCATCACTATGTTAGGTTATAGTTTAACAGTAGCACTGCCAGTAACTTGATAATATCAATGTTGATGGTCAAATGTATCAGGGAATCAAGTAAAAGCCTTTTTGGGATTTAATACTAAAGGAAAACAGCTGGCCTGAAGTAAAACTGTATTTGGAAAACCATCACCTAATTTCTATACCATTTCTATCTCTATCATATAAATAATTTATTAGATGTAAATGCCAGACAAGTATGGATAGTTTTGCTTTAAGAATGTCTTAGCCAAAGGCCAGAGCATGCCCTGTGTAAGCATTCAACTTTGCCCAAAGAGAAGTCTGCACTATATTTTGCTTATTGAAAGACAATCTTTTGCCCCTTGGAATTTCTGAAATGATAAGGCTTTTATTCATGATAAGCTTCTTGTCCCACACTTGATACTTCATGCTTATGAGGTGACTCATTGTGGGCCCCACAGGGGACATGAGATCAGCTTGTCCTTCATGGAGAGAATTGCTGGAGGTTGAGTTGGACTATATAGGGAATTAATCAATCTGTCATGTCTCTGAGCCAGAATGCCAATGAACACTCTAGACTTTGGCACTCATATGAGCTTCTTGATGGCAACACCTGAATGCCAGAGATTAACATGTCCACAGAGCTTCCATTTTTGGAAATATGTAAGCCTCTATCCATTATATCTCTTCCTTTGGTTCTATATATCCTAATTACTTTCTCACTGCTTAGACAAAATATTCAACACACAATGTTAGAGGAAAGTTTTGTATGCCTCACAGTTCAGAGAGGTTTCAGTCCATAGTTGGCTGGTTCCAAGGCAGAGTGGCATGGCAGACAGGCATCACAAAGAAGAAACAGTTCATGGTGGGCTTAAGGTAGCAAAGCAAGCAAGCTGTAAGTTCAGCCAACACCAGCAGGTTTTTATATTCTATCTAAGATACTAGGTTTAGGGTAGGTGCTGAATCAGTGAACCAATTTAAATAATCACATACATTTAATTCCAACATCATAAACTCTAGATCCAGCCACATTGAAAGAGTCCTACTATGACCTCATGAGGCTTAGGGAGAAAAACTAAATCAAGCCAAGTCTCCTCTGAGATTTAAAGCAAAGTTTTACCTATAAGTCCCTGTACAAATGAAAAGGAAATTCAACACTTCCAACATTCATTGGCACAAGGCAGATATTTACATTACAAAAGTTAAAAATAGGAGAACAAAGGAATGGGTCTGAAGCAATTTAAAAATTCCCCTGGCAAACACCAAGTCCTACAGTTCTATGTCCAGTATCCCTGGCCATCTGTGACAAGTTGTGAGTGCCAAAGGGTTGGGTTTTCTGTCTCATGGCTCTGCCAGTGGTTGTAGTATCCATGGCTTCTCTCTTGGCCTGGCTGTGCTCCCTCCTTGCAGTTTGCCTCAGATGATCTGTGTTTCTGGCTTCTCCAAACATTTTAGGGTCTCCACTATAGCTTTATACTCACAGTTCAGGGGCACACTACCTAGCCTTGCAGGTCTTGTTTTGAAATCTGAGTGAAAGCCTTCCCAATCCCAAAATTCCTTTGCATGTGTCTAAAACAAGCATGGGATACCTGCTCCAGTGTTTCCTTCTCAAAGTAAAGTCTTTTCCTTTGGCAATTTTGAGGCTTCAAAGGCTGGAGTACTGTTTTTGTATATGATGTCCTCAGGCCATTTTTCTCTTCTCCTGTTGCTTCTCAGCAATGAAGATCTCTCTGAACTATCTTTGCAGTCCATAGCTTTATAGGGGATACCTTCTGGTCAAATTCACAATGTTTTAAATCATTATGCAAGGCTTTTGCTCTTAATTCTCAACATATTTTTTTGAGACAAGATCTTACTATTAGTTGAGACTAAACTTGAACTCACTTTGTAACACAGGCTGGCCTTGAACTTGCAGTGATCCTCCTGCCTCAGCTTCCCAACCACTGGGATTACAGACATACATCAGTATATCTGGCTTCAACATAAATCTGGCTAAAAGCCCATAAAGTAGCCATGATACAACCTAATATTAAACTATCTTGAAATTTCTTCTGCAAGATTAATTAGTCCACGATTTATAATCTCAGTCTCAGGCAAACTCCGTGGATATAATCAAACTGCAGATACTTTCTAACAAGGTATAACACACATTATCTGGAGTCTAGCAGTGAATTCAGTCCTTCTTCCAAGCAGAAACCTCCTGAACTTGGTCTTTACCAGTCTCATTTTTGTCTGTGTTCTGGTATTCTAAACTCTTGCCAAAATCTTACCAGATGTTTCCAGGACTGCTCTTACAGACAGCATCTCTAAACCTTTCCAAACTCTTCCCATAGGCAGTTCCAAAGTATCCTGAAACACATGGTCAGATACAGTCAAAGACCCCACTTCTAGTACCAAATTCTGTATTAGTTACTCTCCTCACTTGTTTGCTGAAACAAAATACTCAATATTCAAAGTTAAAGGAGGAAAAGTTTATTGGGTTCACAGTTTGTAGGTGATGCAATCCATAGTCATCTGGCTCCAAGGCAAAAGAGAAACCATTCCAGGGCAGGGAATTGGGAGGTAGAAACAGTGAGCTTCCCTTTAAGTTTATATTCCATCTAGGCTACAAGACTGTTTGCCCAAAATGGGCCTTCTGTCTCCAGTAAATCTATTCAGACACACCAAGACTGTGGTAAACCATTCAGAGTACTAATCCACACACTTTTAATCCAATATCATACATTCATGATGCAATCACCTCCAAAAAGCCCCCTCTATAAGGTACAGTAAGTTTAGGGGGAACATCTAGATATAAGCTGTACCACACAGTTTATATGGACCAAATTATCTGTTTAAGTATGTTCGAATTAAATTCCGCACATTTACAATCAAAATGACTCTTGCTAATGCAGTTATTTAAAGAAATGTTGCTTAGTAAATGTCTGTTATTTAGAATAGTAAAGATGTAATTCTTTGGCTTGACAACTATATCAAGAGCCCAAAATTTTAGGGGACAAGATGTGATAAAGCTTCATTGAGGTTGATTTTATCCCTGAATATTACTCTGAAATAATGTTTTGAAACTAAACACAGAAAATATTTTATTTGGTACTTAAGAAAGAATAAATAAGAAAAAACAAAAGAGTCCCAAAGCCATACAGTTATTCCTTCTGGATACATTGTGATGTAATCAAAATAAAGTTTGGCCAAAATTATAGTTACAATTGCCATCTTTCATATTTTCAATGAGAATATACTGATCAAAGACTTACACAAAAATAGGTATTTTTTTCATCATGATATACTGGCAGAACTCAAGTAATTCTGAGCTTGCTCTGAGATTTTATAGAAAAAAAATATATATTGCAAGCTTTTTCTCATATCTACTTCTTCAAAGGGATTCCCAAGACAAAAAGATATGTAGTAATCTAGAGGAACTTATTGTGGCTTAAAAAACATAAAATTGCCAATATTTCTGCATCAGTGTTAAAATACAACTTCAATGTTTCAGTAACTATTGTAATTTATCTATTTATTCCAGATGAGCATATCTCTAGGGTATACAAAGACTGACAGGACAGATATAACAGTATTATTTCTTTAGCAGTATTAGAATTTTGGGCCTTCAATAATTATCCATAAAACAGTTAAACATCAATGTGTAAAAATAATAGTGACCAATGTTCTCTTTGGAATTGCAAAATTCCAAATAAATAGATATTTATTTTATATCATTATGAGGTTACTTTTAAATTTTTGCGGAAAAGCATGTTTTCAATGACTTTTTTGAGTCAGAGGCTTGCTATGTAGTTCATGTGGCCAACTCACTATGTATCTCTAGATCTCACGGGGATCTTCTTGTCTCAACCTCCCGAGTGATAAGATTACAGTCATTCACTACCACCTTCAGCTTCACATTTCTTTCAAACACTGAGAATGAAATTTGCTGTCAATGAAGCCAAATGCACTTTAGAATTAGATTAGTTTATTGATTCATTTAATTTTGCTTCAAATTTAAGGGAAGGGGCAATCTTGCAATTAAGTCTCTAGACATTTTACGTATCTTTTTATTGGTTGGAACATAGGTTAGAAGCTGCTTACAGATACACACCTGTGCAGTGAAAAATTAAAATGTGCTTCTCAAATGCTACTTCCTAAGTAATGGCCGTTTTTTCGTTTTTTACAGAGATTGTGACACATGTGGCAATGAGAATCCATGTCCAGAAGGGCCTTCCTCCCTTATGTTAGTGCTGCTCAGAGTATTGAGCTCCCTTCAGTTGCTTTTGACATGAAGTTGACATGACAACCAGCAGCAAGTTATTTTTTCCATGGAGGAAAGTCAGGTAGGACTGCCTTCTGATTGGTGATAAGCACTTTTAATAATGAAATAAAGATATGTATTGCTAACCCTAATAAAACTTATCATCTTTAGGTTTACTGCCTCTATGGAATCTCAATTTTGTTATAAATTTAATAGACTCATACCTGGTTTGAGGTGACTATTTTCCTTTCAGTTTTAGAATGTAACAATTTTGTGTTGCAGAGAGACAGAGAGAGAGAGAGAGAGAGAGAGAGAGAGAGAGAGAGAGTGAGAGAGAGTCTTTCTCCTTCACAAATTGTCATAAATAGCTTCTTTTATAACTGTAACCTACTTGCAAAGATTATGTGAATTGCCAATCAGAATTAAAAGTAAAACTAGATCAGACTAGTAAGTAACTTTTTCCATGGGCTTTAAGGGCTAGTGAGGTTTTCCCATTAACATTAGCCTTGAAGGAAGCGATATAAAGATTGTGACTTTTCATCCTGCCAATCTGTTTACATGGAAGTCACATTAGTCTTTCACTCATGATGGCTACACCTATCATGACTGAAAGGTAAAATTCTTATTTGAATTATGCCCAAGTAAATTAGAGCACCAGATTTTTAAAAACTACAAACCACACATGTAGATCTCAGAATGCTAAGAAATCATTGCCCTTTAATAAAAAAGTGTATTTAATAAATTAGTAAGCAGTTTACAAATGACCTGTTGGAACCTATGAAAAAGGAAGTTTGGCAGCCTTTTCTTAGTGACCGACTCCACTCTGGGTTTCGTCAACACAGTGCAACAGAACACTCATGAAGATGCTGCCCGCATCGAGGTAACATTTATATAAAGTAGTAGGGTGCTATAATGCCGAAGCGATGATGCACCTCTTGAGATGAAATCGGAAATCATTTCTAGGAAGAGAGATTTGACCTCACACTGAAAAGATGAGAAGACGTCTGAGGTCCAAAGAGCTAGCTGTGGGAATTCTAAGAACAAAAAACAGTCAGTGCAGGAACTTTGAGCCAGGAATGTTTTTGGCCTGCTGGGGATCAAAAGGAAATGTGGCACTGTGGTAGCAGAGGCATGCAGGGGTCAGAGGGCAGAGGTGAAAGTGGAGCTCATACAGAGTCATGTACAAAGCAGAGTGACCTGTGGATTGTATTTTAGAAGACCCAGAGATGTCCTTGAATTAATTTGAGCAAGCTTTAACATTTATATGTGTATAAATGATATTTCTAACCTCTTTCACACTGCCTGAGAGAGAAGTATGGACTTAGTGAAGATTTAGGTATGCAGATATAGATACAGATATAGATACAGATGATAAACAGGTATAGACTTTATGTGATTCAATCTCTCTTCCTATTATCAATATTAGACACTGGGAAATTGGAAAGCATGATTTATATACAAATCAATCTAACTAGAGATAGCCAGAGCTGCATCTATCACCTATATATATGAAGTCTGTAAGAAAAGGCAGCCATAAGGGCTCCATCTTATTACTTTAAACACTTGGAGCCTCAGCAAAGGGAAATGATAGGAAGAGACCAGGGAAGGGTGTTAGGGATTTCTGGATGCTTTCATGATCCCTTTGTCAGGGCGGAGGCTGTGGAGTCACTTTCTCCACTGTTTGAGCCTAATTCGTCTTCTCTTCTTTCAGATCACTCACCTTCATTGTACAATTCACATTGCTTCCACTGCACAGTTGTCAGGCCCACCCAAATAAACGCTATTTTCACTCAGGAACATAGCTTTGACCATGGAATACATCATGTTCTCTGAAGACTGAAAGGGAAGCATCTGCCTACTTCCACTCACTGCTCTCGGTGCTTGGGTGCCCTGTCTGTCTCTGCGCTTGCTTCTCAGTGAGATGAGCTGTGTCCACGCTGACAGCCCTCTCAGGTAAGGAGGGGGAAGGGCAGAGTTAGCTTTCGATGTTGGCATGTTTCTAGAAACAGAAAACAAAATAGCTTAGCAGCCAGACAAATATCGCCTTTGGATTGCAAACAGAGAGCCAGAGCAAAAGCCCTGCAAACAAAAGTGAAATTTCTCTAAGCAAGTTGGGACTAAAATCTTCAATGTGGTTGGGTATATTTCCGTAACATTTTCATTCCAAGAATAATTACATTCTAAGATTGTAAGTAGAGTGATTAAATATCCAAGAGCAAAAAGCTAATCAAAGCTTTATTTCCACCTTTTACAAATCACTTTAATTAAATTTTAAGATATACATTAAACATATATATTTAGATAGTAACTACTTTTGGACACAGAAAAATCTTCAATTTTCTTCATAATCCTGCATAAAGAGTAATATATGCCTTTAAAATAAAATACAATCTCCCGAATGCAATCTTTGGAAGTATCAGACACTATTAGTAAAAGAACTTACAAAGTTAATATTTTAGTCCATAATTGTGAAACTATCTTTCATTTGATACTTGGAACTTCCATGACAACATGTCATACAGTATACCATTAAGTCAATGGGATACATCTCTTTATCCCAATAAAGTTCACACATAGAAAAATAAAATTTGAAGGTATTATTAGTAAAAAGGAAATCTAATTTGGTTCTAACTAATTCTCCATTATGTTTCTCTAGGTTGTTTTAGCTTTGGCCCACAGTCTTTCAACCAGTGCCTGAGTGGCTCAGAGAGTCCCTGCCTCAAATCTGCACACAGGCTTTGCAGTGCCCCTCAGGTCCCATAGATTCACCTTCAACCTGGCTTACACTTCTGGCCACATTCACAGCACCCTGCTGAGAGCAGGCACACAGTGTGTGTAAAGTAATCATGAGTAAGAGAATGAGTGAGTCGATGAAAACTTGGGATACAGTCAAGAGTATACTGTAACTTTAAATACTTAAAGTTCCAAATCATGATTTTCATTAAATACATTAATAAATACATCTTATTAAATACATTCATAATTTATTTTAAGCAAAGAATAATAATAAGCAATTGGTTACACAGAGAGGACTCAGGGAAACTTACTTAGTCTGAGATTTTGAATTTGATCCGATGCCCTACTACTCAGCTTTAGTGCATGGTTCTAAGTTGGTTATTTATCCTTCTGCTGTTCTTTTCTTTGCCATGGTCACAATATAGGCGCACTGTAGTGACAGTATGAAGCTGTAAGTCCAAATATAGAGTAGTAGTACAAGAAATAGACTTGGTCTAAACAAGTTGGGGTTGAACCCTAGATTCAAGTACTTGGTAAGCACAGGGACAATTTAATGTCAGATGTTTTGGGGAATTGTTCTAGTAAGGTATTAAATGTTATGATCCAATGGCCTGAGAAAAACAATGTAAAGGAGGAAATTGGGGGGGGGGTGCTTATGTTTTCAAAGGGTGCAGTCTATAGTTTATATTTTGGCTCATAGTTTCGGAGGATGCACTCTACAGTTGGATTTATTTTGACTCATGGTTTGAGAGGAGAAAATCCATAGTTGGCTGATTCTACTGCTATGGGATGAAGGTGAGGCATAAAATCATGGCAGAAAGGTCTTGCAAAGGAAACCTGCTGCCTCCTGGAAGACAGGAAGCAGAAAGAATTGTGCAGGTGGGAAGCTTCTTTCTAGTTTTGTTTCAGCCAGGAACAAAGAGGACTAGAGGATGCTCCCACACCCAGAGAAGGTCCTCCTACTCAGTTTTCCACAAGTGAATAATACCTGGAAATTCAGCTGTAAACACACCAGGAGGATGCCTGACTACTTTCCTATGCATTTCTCTATCCAGTCAGAATGACTACAAAGATTAACCCTGGGCTTATCGTTATTTTTTGTCTTATGTGAATCCCTTTTAATATCCAGGATTTTCTTCTATTCCTTTTTAGAAAAGTTGAAGGAATCATGGATGTCATTCTCTTAGGGTTCCCGCAGGTACCTGTCTATACCTTAGAGATACTTAATTTCTGCCAAGAATTCCAAGTTTTTCTATTCATTATCTATATTTTTTGTCCAAAGGATACCTTAAAGTTGTTAAGTTCATTTAAAATTTAGTTTTAAGGGGATTCGCAGGCTATTCTTAATGGCCAGTAAATAATTAGGGCTAGAACTTTGAGCTCCTAAATTCCAAGAAACTGGGAAATCATTAACTGTTAGCAAATACTATTTCTGTATGACACTTCTTCTCTGTTTGTTGTCCATGTTACAAGCTCTGTCTTTCTATTCGTGTAATACATTCATTTGGAAAAATTTTGTGATAATGTATTTGAAACAAGTTCTTTTGGAAACACCAGTTTTCCATCTCCCTAGCAGTTTCAGGCTTCACTTCTTAGGAAGTGAAGGTTTCTTTGAGAATATTGTTCATTTTTAACTCTTCCCTTTGTAATTCCAGGATGATGAATTCATCATACATAGGATTCCCCCATGTGTTCTATCTCAATTTTTCTACAATTCTATAATTTGATTTCTCCCACATTCCTGGTGACTGATTTCCTCAACTTCCCTTGTATATCTCCTACAAACTTTACAGAACATTTATTTTTGTCTGTTTGTTGTAATATAGCTTCTATCTCTGACTTTTATTTTTTTATATTAGATTCTGTACATGTATGGTCTATTCACTTTTTGGAACTGTGAAGATTTTTCTGTCTGAATTTATTCCATGTTCTCAGGCCATACTTAAGTTAGTATTCTTTATCCATTATTTTGTAAGATAGATAAGTAAAGCAAATTCTTATTCTTTTTAGTTATTGCTTATTCAAGAAGTATAGCCTAGAAGCAGCTAACAGTGGAAAAGCTCAAACAACAATTCCATTAGAATTTCAGTGCCTAGAACATTGGCCTACTAAGTAGTAAGTACACATGGGCCTCCAAGATAAAGAAACATTACAATATAATTTGATATTAAGCTCTGTCTATAGATTTTTATTCTTGTGCTTAATTCTTATCTGTATTTTTAATTCCTTCTTTCCTAAAATATCCTTAAGGCAATACAAACCACATATGTGTAGCAGAGATCTTTGCTAATGCTTCTCTGATTTAGAACATTTCTACAGTTACTATAAAATAACCTTATTTTTTCCTGTTATTTAATTTGTTTTAGGATTGTAACTATTCCTTTTTTTAATGAAAAAAACACTTTAAAGTGATTATATATATTTATATATACATATATATATGTATATATATATATATATATATATACACACACACACATATATTCTTTGAACTGTTGTTGGTTATTTTGTAGCAGAAGAGAAATTATTTTCTATTTTTGAGCAGAAATCCTCTTTTGTGTGTGTGTGTGTCTTTTTTGAGACAGGGTCTCACTATGCATTTCAGGCTGGCCTTGAGCTCACTTTGTAGCCCAGGCTGGTCTCAAACTTGCAAAATCCTCCCACCTCAGCCTCCTCAGTACTGAGATTACAGGCATGAGCCACCAAGCCTGGCAGAAATCCTCTTTTTCAACAAAATTAGTTTCATGTAGGATTTGAGTTATAATAGTCTTTTTGACGGTCATGTCTACTACTTATACGGGCTTGAACATTTTTCTTAATATATCTATGTACCTATTACTAATATCTTCTTGAATAATATATTTTATACTTCCATAAATTGTAAGTGATAATTAATTTGAAAATAGTGTCTCTTAACTCATTCACCTCTCACGGCTTCCACCTCTGAACACGGTTGCATGAGGGACCCTCAATACATGGTTCTTTGGTTCATATTAAATCCATAATAGGGATCAGGGCACTTCTAATTCAAAGGATTATTTTAAAGTTTGTATTAAATAATGACTATAACCCCAATTAATGAAACACAAATTATATCATGCCTGACTTTATTATTTTCACTTTTTTATGTATATTTTCTATATTAGAGCTTTTATTTTTAGTTTTAGGTACTTCATAATACTAAATTTAAAAAACAACAACACATTCTATGTCTGACTCTAACTAATAGATCAGAAATATTTTATTTTAATAAAAAATACTTAGAACTTAATGTCAAATGTTGTTGAAATGTTATTTTGACAATCCTTGAAGTCTTACTGATTTAATTGCCTGCTTTTTCTTTCTTTTTTTAAAATTTGCTTTGTACTTGGGATTGAACTTATGGCCATGCACTAGCAAGGTAGGCACTTATGCCACTAAGCTAACTCCCCAGCAGCTGATTTTTTTCTTATGTCTAATTTTTATTCTTGTTTTCATTTCATGCTTTCCTAAATTGTCAGTGCAATACAAATTCCATATATCTATATGAGAGATCTTTGCTAATGGTTCTCTGATATAAGGCTTAGAATTTTTCAAATGATAATTACCATAAAATAGCCTTATTTTTTCCTGATAATAGAATTTTGAATCTATGCCCCTTTTAGCTATTCTATTATGACCCTAAAAATTACTTTCTTGCTTGCTCTACCTCAGATGATGGGGAAATGAATTCTAATACCACATTGTTGAAAAAGAGCATTAGAAATGAGATCTGGCAGCAAAGCTAATAAAATAGGTCATAGTAGCCTAATGTATGCCCTCTGCTAATCCCTCTTACATTTGAAATTTACTTTTTCTATTCTGTTGTTTCATGCATTTGAGCATACCTGCAGGCTGCCACATGTGCAAATGATTTTGAAATTCACAGGACACTTATCCAGCAATAACCATTGTGCAATTTCTAAATAAGGATGTTATTTTTCAGTGAAAAAAATTGTGAAAGTGTTGTAAGTCATATTTGAGGTACTGAAAGAATTCTGAAATCATAATCATGGCACTTTATCGTTTTATTATTTCCTGACTCCTTTTAATTTTCTTAGAGATTTAGGAGACATGTTTTAATCTTTCTTTGTTTTTTTCTTCAAATAATGGGTTGCAATGGCTAGCCCACAGCCTTGGTATTAGGATTAAGTACATTTATAATAGAGGAACACACACACACACACACGCACACACACACACACACACACACACACACACACCTTATCATAAAGGTCTGGGCCT